TGCTCTTATACGACACGATTTTGTACGTTTATTACAAACAAAAATCAATTTCATTTATTGCTTAATTCGCTCTAAGTTGCTGAACAGCGCGCATACAAAAGTGTCGAATTTAATTAATCGATCGAGTTCGACGAAATGCAGCTACCGAAAAAATTTTTGCGAAATCATACATCGTATCCATCGCTCATGAGCTCGCGCGCGCCCCGGCACAAGTTTCGATAAAAAGCTCCTTTATTCAACTTCTCTGGCGCGCGCGCGCGAAAGTCAGTTTAGACATTAAATAATACGGAGTGCAGGCGCGCGCGAGAGAGTTAGGCGCAAAAAGTGAACTACTGTTTCGTAACTCCGTATACATATAAGACACGGCTTGTATAGTATCGTACGGTATACACATACGTGTATCGCCTAGGCATCTCGTTTATCGGATTTTGCTGAAGTGTGCACCGCTTGCTCAATTATAAGTTATTATGTATCTCTCGCGCGCGGGCTTTATAAAGCGGCGCAGAGCTAGAGACATACACATACGTATACGTACGCCTTCATTGGGATCGTTTATGAATGCAAGAGTGTCGGGGCATATATACGAGCGACTGTGTATATTGTGTGTGGACCTAGAAAGACACAGCTCGCTGCTGCTCGTTACTCGCATATACGTATTATTACGATTTAATTTTGCGCCTACTCCCGGTCGCTGCTGCTGTGTGTAACGCGCGTAATCGCACTTTTCCGGTTTTCGTACTTGAAACTCGAGAGATACGCGTTCGTACATTATGGCATTACTGATCCACTTTTTCTGTGTATATATACACTTCACTCTCGATGCTGACTCGCTGCTGACAAGACACGACGTACCGCGTGGCCGCGAAAAATTATTCATCCGAAGATCGGCTTGTTTATTCTACATGTGCGACGATATACGTGTGCAAAAGGAAAAAGAATGTATTGCATACGTATACGACGAGAAGTGTCTAAACATTATCATTCCGTAATCATCGAGGCGAAACAAAGTAAAAAAATATTCGCACGACTTGCAAAGTGAGGAAGCCAATTCTCGTCCCTCTCTCTCTCTCTCTTATCCATATAACAATATACAGATATATTATATGAGGGTGTAAGTGTGTGTATGCACTACCAGCGCACATGTTAGTGCAAAATCGCGCGTCTATGGGAACTTTATTTTTTGTTATTGCGACCGGTGGCCGCCCGAACTGTTATTTTCCCTCGAGGCGGCATCAAGCGGCGTTCCGCATACTCGCCCACGCGAGACGGCCGCAGAAAAAAAATACACTACAACCCCTTCGCGCGTAGTGCAAAGAAGAAGCAGAAGAAAAAAAACGTAAAAAAGTCGATTTCGCTTTCGCACAGTAGTAGCAGCAGGACGATGACGTTGACGACGAAGCTGCTGGGTTATTTGCTGTGGCATTTTAAATTAGTCGCATTTTAATTGACCGCCGAGTTCCTAGACACGCACATGTACGGACGCAGAGCGAAAAGAATGCCTACAATGCGTTTATAGTCTACCACCTATATCTTAATGAAATGACATCAATTTCAACTTCATAGCTCGTTTAGCTCTCCTCGGCTCTCTTTCTATGTCATTTTCTTTCTCGACAGATATCTCGCTTCGATCGAGAGCCAAGCTTTAATTTCGTTTCGTAATAATAAAGGGTGCAGTTGTTTACTTTTATACACGTTATATCAGCTGAATCTCTCCTGTAGTCATATTACAATGACTGTGTTGTGTGTATGTATCAAGTACACAGCCCCCGCGGATCCGAATTATAATTTCTCTCGGCGGCGTATTGTACGTTTGTATACGGATCGTGAAAACATATTTGTACAGAGATTATTAAAACGTCGTATATTAATTGAAGCGCACTCGAGCGTCGCGCTAAATGACGGCAGATAAATCAATCAATCGCGTGCCTACTTGCGCGTAAACATATAGAAAGTCGCGACGATGCACATAACACATATAGCTTCGAGCTGAATTTTCAAATGATTATAATAGGTGTGTACAGAGAAAATACGGAGCAGCTCGGACTCGGGGATCAATTAGCGCGACGAAAAGTAAAGCAACGCGGAGCTCTCTAACACACGTACGCGCTATAACAACTCATTCTCTTTTTCGATAAGCATCGTTGTGTATGTATGTGGTGGCTCGAGCTAAGCCACACGAACACATATCTACAGACACACACTCGAAGCACACGAGTGTATTATACGTGTATACATGTGACTTTTGCCCCGAGCTCTACGCCGTTCACTCTCTACTCAGCGTGAACCTCTCCGTGAGTGTATGTTATGTGCTAATACCGTCTGTCTTAAACAAAGCCTCCGGACTTGTATCAAAGTACCCCTTCCGTGTGTAAGAGAGCAACTACACTCCTTACGTGTATGTGTGTATGCATGTGGTTGTCGTCCCACGCGCGTGATAGCATATAGTTCGGCTGTGTCAGGCACAGGCAAAGTTGACCCACTTTAAAGTATATACGCGATACACTACTCTCGGGTACAAAAGAATATATTTATAAATGCGTATGTTTAAATATTTTCGTGTCCGCGCGTGTGCACGTACTTATGCACATTGTCAGAGACAATGTATCATTGTTATGCCCGCGTTGGCTTCGATGCATGCATGCACGCAGCAGCATTCGTATTTTATATACATTACAGCTGCGATCGAGAGAATTTGGGATGGCTTTTGAAAGTGTCCGCGCGTATATCACACGCACTCGTAGTACATTTTCGAGCCTCGGGAATGATCGATCATCCTTGATTCGATTTCAAGTGCGCGCGAGACTCTCGAGCTATAATTAGTATGGACGACTATAATGAGCATCGGCTAGCAGGTGATCATAATGCGGTCGCCTTACATCGACGATCCGACCGAGCGCGGGTGTGATGATCAACCGGCTAATTAACTTTTACACACGATCCAGTGTCGAAAATGGGAAATTTAAATCACCCCGCGAATGAAAAAAGAGCTTAGAAATCATTTTTCTTTGTGTTTCTCATTGTAATGTACTTTTTTGTGTTGGTTTGATGGTTGAACTTTGAGAGTCCGGACCGCGTGTACGTGTGAATGATTTACACGCTTTGTTTCCAATATGGAGCGGCAACGATGATGGCTGAAGCCAGAGCGTCTTGAAACTTTCATGCGCGCGCCGTTTCAAACGTTTTCCTTATCGTTTCAACGAGGTTAACGAGCCGTGACATAATGTTTCATAATACGTCGCTTAACCGTCGTTTATATACGTTTTTCTGACAAAAAGCACATGATTTATGTAGGACTTTATGGCCTATATTTCACGATTATCGAACTCGTTTCGGAATTTTAGTTTTGATAAAAAAAAAGCTTCCCGTCGCGTATTTCGCAATGTTTTTCTACATTATAATCTCTAATGCTTTTGCGACATTACGGTGAGAGATATATAGTTACCGATTTTTCTTGAAAAAATAAAGTAAAATTAATTTCGGAGCTCGACCGACCGACGAATCAAGAACTAATTGTTCCCTCGTGTATTACACGAACTTTATAATCGAATTCGCTGCATCGGCCGATATCGTGCATAACACAAACAGCACACAAGCACGCGAAAGTAACCCAAAAAAGAGAAAAAAGAAAAGAAAGAGAGAAAAAAGGCAGCAGCTGTATGTATCGTACACATTCGCGTGCAACAAGCTCCTAATTGAAAAACTTGTCGCTGTAAGGCGGCAGTGTATATTCGTACATATAATACGCGTGTATGCAGCTCTGATTTGGCTCTATGTTAATTCGCGTGTGTGCGCATTACCCGTATATATCTGCAAGGTTTATATATCATTAGCATTGAAAGAGCCCATGAGTATACACAGACATAGCACACGTACAATATTATACTCTCATCTCGGGCTCTTCGTTCGAGCTTTTGTTTGTTTTCAATTGTGCGACGACAAGGCCTCGCTACCGAACTTTATGATTTATCTGTCTGTGTCTCGTTCGTCTCGTGAAATTATCAAATAAAATTTCGATGTCGTTGGCATACGCGATCGTTGAATATTATTTCAGCAACGACCTCGTGATAAATCGCTCAAATGCTTCTCTTTCTTTCTCTCGTTGCGATTCACACGCAGTAGAAAAAATCACATCCTCAAATCACCTGAAATCCACCCGATTGTTGCATTTACGAAAAATCTCACCTATACTCCGACGATTTTAAAAAACCGCAGTTATTTCTTTTCATCTTGCATACCTGCGCTATATTATACGAGGCACTGGTCGAAGCTTTTTTTCTCTTACTTTTTTTTTCACGCGCAACCTTGACAGCGAGCGAAAAGAGTCACTTGCACACACCGTGCTATTTGCCGTGAAAGAGAGGAGATCTGCACACGCGATGCGTATACATATACAGGCGTGCACATAGACGGTTTTCACGTGCCGCTAATCATACGTGCAGAGCTGCACTCTGTATACACATACGCGCGACCGGGCGAGTTCATTCAAAAGACGGGAAGTTATTATGTACGCAGACATGTGAAAAAGTTTCAATCTTGGAAAAGAAACTGACGAATATCCGTTTTATTATGAGAAATAAGTAATGTCTTGGATTACGACGACAAACGATATCTAATTAACGTGTATCAAATATGATTCTCGTTGCGATTTACACGAAATACGCAAACGAACACTTGAAAAAATTTTATTCAATTATGAATTAGGATTAATATAATTTTTTATAAAAGTAATACATCGAAAAATACGATCTTATCAGATATCAATAAAAAAATAGCTGGTCAAGTTGTTGTTTGTTGTAATCATTATCACTACCGTTATCGTTATTATTTTGTTATCGATATTACTGTTAATTATTACATCAAGATTATCATTTAGATTTGACTCAAAAGTTACTTATTATTCTAGAAAAATTCAAAACATTGATATCTAAATAATACCCCCATACTTATTTTAATTTGTTTACGTTACGATTTGAAAAATGTAACGCGTAAGCCTAGAGCCGAGCGAATGGCTCAACGCTCGCTCCTTCCAAATTCAACCGAGTAGGAAGAAACACACGGACTTCTTATCGTCTTTAAAAATGTTTGAGTTTGAGCCAACTGCAGGTCCATCATCCTCTGCAATAATATTACCATCGTCGTCGTCGTCGTCGGAGGAGGAGGAGGAGGATGAAGAATCACCATCGGGCGACGAAGGTACTACTGGCACCGAGATTTCTCAGCAGAATTGCTCGGTCAAATTCAAAGCCCAATTCCAACTGCGCATAGACCAGCGCGTGTTACCCGATCACAAGGATAGTCTCTGCAAGATCGCTGCCATTGCTGCGGGGTGTCACGTCGAGTTCAAGGCGAACACCAAATGGGAGGATTTCAGTACGCTGCTCGCGTTCGAGATATACTCGGCGATCAAGGACGAGAGCTACAAACCCAGAGATACGAAGATGGTTCAGATCAACAAGAGGGCGAACAACGTTACCCTCGCGGGTCCGCAAAAAATAATCTATCAGGACGTAAAAGCACTGGTCCTGGTGACAATTGAGAGTGTAAAATATCAAGTCTACTACAGAGTTCATTTGGGCTTTTACCCGTCTGGAGTCAGGAACACGGACAAGGAAGACGAAGATATTCCAGAGGAAGAGCAAATACTCACTCCACCGCTTCACTTTTTCCAAATTCTATGGGGTATGGATGAAAAGCGCTCGCAATACACGAACGTGTTCACCATCGACATCCAAGCAATGGTTGACATGATCTCAAGAATTTGTCAACCAGTTATGACCAACGAAATTGCCCCTGCGGATCTGAAAAAAGTAAGGGTCAAGTTATGCGTGACCGCAAAATTAATGTCTGACCACATCATCATGGGTTTGGATAAAGATCTCGTGGCTCAAAAAGTCGCTATCATTGCCGCGATCAATCTCGAGAACAAGGTTCAATCCCAATGGAAGGATTTCAGTTACCACAGCGCCTGGGAGCTGTTCCTGAAGCTGAGATATCTGAGTTTCGAGCCAAAGATGCCTTGTCACGTCCAGCTTTACTTCGAGGCGGACAACGTGAACGAGGAAGGACTGCAGAGGAGCGTCGCTTCCCACATACACCAGACATTCACAATAACGACCGAAACATTCAAGTCGTACGAAATCTCTTACAGGATCAAGTACGGATACTACCCCAATGCGATGCCGCAAGAAGAAAGAGCAGAAGACATTCCTTTGGAGAGGGGAGTAGCTCTCAACCGAGTGTACGATCCTCCGTTTCAATTTGATGCTCTTGTTAAGGCAATCGAACGCGAGAAGTGGAACTACACCAGTGGTTACAATATCAATATCAAAAAGTTGGCCAAGGTGGTCAATGAAAAATGTCTTTGTAAGTATGATACTCACTCTTTGAAAACTATTACTAAAGCTTGAAAGCACTCTTGAGACTCGAGTCTACGATAATTAATTTTAGTAAACGCAACTTTATCGATTTTCATTAAATGTGCGGTATAGAATAATTATATATTGGATATAGATTTACAATTATAAAACTGTTCTAATAATTTGACGTGTTTAATAATAGATGAAATTGAAATGAAGTCAAATCGTCAAGCCAATTACATAATAAATGTAGAGCAATCAAGATTAATAACTCATGTTTAATTATTTATTTTACAGGTACCATAACGTACTGAAGACAGCTACAATTGATGTACCATTCAATTTAAAATCAGCTCCTTCCGAAACAATTCTCAGTCGAAGAGACCTAACTCGTTAAGTTTTCCACATCCAAAGTCTTCTATGCAAAAGATTAAAAACCAACACTTAAGATGTAAAAAAGTTGTAATATGCAAAAGATGAATGACTTAAGATTCATTTTCTTGAACATTTGACACTTTTTTACAAGGCAATAATAACGACTAATCAATGTTTTTAATATGTAACCGTACATTTGATAATGTACTTTTTATATGTCAAAAGATATAAAACTATTTGTTATTTTTAAAATTCAGACCATTGATCCAGGAGCCAGTATTTTAATGTTGAATCTCTGTACTCAATCACTAAATTATATTCATTAAATGAATAATAAAAAGTTAAAAGTCTGTTTGATAATTCCTTATCCTTCAAATGAGCTAACTAATTCATCAGCTAAACTTGTCCGAGAGGATTACATAAAAAAGGAGTCCACGAGTTGCAAGAAGTCGTATATTTACGACGTGTTAAAACGCTACATGCACACCGCCGTGTGCTCCACGGTAAGTACGTGTAAGTATTTGTGTGTATGTGTATACTTATAAAATTGGATAAGTGGCGGCTTTGCCGCTGCTTCTCTTTATGCCTTTATAAGAATTAAATGATATACCTTTTTGCGCGCAGGATTGAAAATAAAAATTTCACTCCGCAGCGATGCGTATTTATACTCCGGAGTAAACGTAAACGTGTATACGAGTGTTGTACGCAGCTGGGAAAAACTCGGTAATTATTATTTCTCTCTCTCTTTCTCTCTGTGTGCGCATATGTGAGCTGTGCAACGCAGCGAAGGTTGACGTCACACGCGCCGCTCGCGTACTCTGAAAAGTATATACCTCGTCGAGAGAGCCAGCTCGAGTACGCGTGTGTGGTTTGAATCCTTGAGCGAAAAATTATCGCCGTCATTGTTGTCTGCCGCCAATATATGTTATATATGTAGGTGATTGCGAAATAAGAAAAATAGAAAGAAATCAACGATGCCGCGTCTTTAAGGAAATCGAGACATTCTTCGCTTGAATTTTCCCAATTAATCCGCGCACCTGATGCGCGATGATCGTCGGCCATCAGGATTCGCGGACAGGAAGCGATACATCATTTCGCTCTCGATGATACGCGCAGCGAGAGAAAGAGATCGCGACGAGGAAATTAAAAGTGATCTATCGCAGCGAAACGAGTGCGAGATACTGAGAGGAAGGAAGGGAGAGGATATGAGGACGAAGAAAAAAAATTAAAGAGTCACAAGTAACTAAAGCCGTGAATAATTGATGAATAATCCGATCAATGAATAATAAAAGAATAATTCAGGTAAGTATGGCAATTTGAAAATAAAATTAAAAAAAAAAAGAATCGACTCCGAGTACAAGAGAAAGAGATGATTTATATATGAAGAATTCGGGAACACGGATGTTAATAATGCGCTGTTCGCACGAGACGCTCATAATATATATAGAGGTACACATGTACGCAAGTCAGAGAGATGAATATGTATAAAAGCGCGCGCGCACTTTTACTTCCGACCCGTAGCGATCAGCAGCGGTAGCACGCAGCAGCATCACAGCGTCGGGCATTCTCAAAATTCCTTGCGGGCGCGCGTTTATTATTTCTTCCTCTTCTTCTTCTTCTTCTTCGTTTTTTCGTTCGAAATGCGGATGACTCACAGTGCGCCGGTGGATGCTTGCCGATTTTGCAGCATGACTCGCTGCCGATGCATTATACGAGAGTTGCAGCGCGTGTGTTTTTCTAATAGTAACGCATGATGCGATGCATTAGCTGACTCGTGTTATATATTGTATCTCGTTGGGTCGTGCAGCGTCATGATCGAAGTGACGATTTTTGGATCGCAATTGCGCGTTCGGTTCGTCAAATTTTTTTATTCGCGCTTGTCAAACAAAGGAGACGATTGAAAATTTACAAACAATGGAAGACGAATAGAGAAAATAAAAGTTCGTATTCGCCGTGCATCGCGCGCGGTATAAACAAACGAAATAAAACGACAGCCGGTATACCTGTACGTAGGAGTATAGATAATCTCTCTTTGGCTTATATAACGTACAGGTAATGCTCGCTCCGATAGCTCGACGAGAGCTCGATCGACGTTTATATTTTTCCGACGACGTGCATGTGCGCAGCGCAGCTTGTCGCGAGATTTTTATCCGCAGAAGGAAAAACGACTTTCCGAGGTTTCTTTTATACACTGTTTTTTTCTCTCAACTTCGAATGGAGCCGAAGTGTTATTCTGTTTTCTTGAATGCAGCGCGATTTACACGCGATAAATAACCATTAAGCCTGTCACCTAATTCCTCGTCTTTGAGAAAGTTCGGATTTGTTTAAATCCCCTTCGTCGTGCGGCTGGTGCCGCCGCGCGCGCATTGTTCCGAGGTTTAAATCGACACCTCTCGTAATAACTTCCATGAACGAGTATACAATATATAATGTCTAAAGTCACCGAGAATCTCGGTGTATTATTCTTGGGGGTCGACTCTCTCAGCGGCATAATAATCCCAAAAATTACAATCAGCCAACCTCTCTCGGATGAAGCAATAAAGAGACAGCAATAGAGAAATAATTGATCGCAGCAGCAGCGAGTGAGTCACTCGCGCGTATGTAACAGGATTGTGCACCTTACGCACGAGCCACGATTTATAAAGTACGTCATACGCACGTACATATACAAACGAGTAATGAAAGTTGTGACATTCTCGAGGCTCTCTCATGCGCTGCTCGGCGCACGAGTAATAGAGAGACAGAGAGGGAGATGGTAAAAACTTGGGCAATACCGCACTCGCGTATATTGCGGAAACGTATATTAACTGAAAAATATCCCCGAGCTGCGGGAAAATCGATTGGTACGCTGTATATAGGTACTGGCATTTGAAGACTGGACTATCGTGTGAGTGTCTGTGTGTCATCTGGCAGTTGCTGCGTCCGATACACGTCGCGCACGTGCGTGATTTAGTCTATAACGGGCAGCGGCATGGGCGACCGTATATAGCAGACGTTGATATCGAAGTGCTGCGCGTCGTGTGAATTTTTTTGCTGTTCCTCTTCTTCGTTTTCGCTCGATTTCAGACGCTTAAAAGAGTTGAAATATACTGCGTCTGTATGAAATGGATACTTTGAGAGAAAATTACTCAACCCGTTCGTTATTTGTCTTTTTATTTTTTCGCAATCCGTACAGAAAAAAAAAGAAAGGAATCTTAAACAATCCGATTATCGCGCCGTAATTCGGAGGAAAAAAGTGACGTATTGAAACACACGTGTGTTGTCCCGAAAGCAATCAACGACGAGCCCATCTCGTCATGCTTTATCGAATCGACCTGAAACTCGGCGCTCGTTTCGATCAAGCGTATTCACGGCAGCAGCGGCGCATCATCGCAATCGTCACCTACTTCAACTGCATTTCCTGCCTTCTATTCGATTCGCGCGAAAACTCGATAATAGGCTGCAATTCTGCCTCTTCCCCCACACACAGACCAATCGACTCTTGTGTATTCCAATTGCGCATAATGTAAACATGACGCAAGTCGATTTAGCGTCCAATCCTCGGGGCGACGTATGATATATATTATGAGAGCCGCGATCGTGATTAACGTTTTTAATGAGTCGCACATGCCGCGAATAAAACTTGAGAGCCTATGATTATAGCGAGCCTGACCCGACCCCATAAGGATTGGCTTTCTTATAAATACATATGCAGCTGTGCGCGATGTGGTTGACTGTAGTATGACGCTGCACTACTTCCTTCGACGCGCTCCGAGCCTATAACATGTTTGCACATTTGCTTCTTGTCACGCGGCCACAGGAAACAATGCAGCGTGTATATACATGTATACTCATAATACAAGAGGGAGAAGAAACTTGTTGCTGCCATTGGATGTATATATATTTTTCGATTATTTGTCTTTCTCCTGTTGTATGCATATAGTTAGGCCAGAAAACGACAACTGCTGTTGCTGCCGCTGTCACTGCTCTTTTTACCGTTAACCCAGAGAGAAAGAGAGAAAAATAATCGAAATTCACTATATTAACCCGAGACGATGTCTCGAAAGACTATTCTAGATGTGAAAACCGAGAGTGTGTCTGCTATCAAGTATTATATTAAACGTTCTTTTGCCTCGAGCTGAAGAATCATAATATTCGAGCGACAGTCTCGAGAGAGAGAGAGAGAGAGATAATTGGACGTGTTCAAAATTTCATTTTGTATATTATATATAAACCTGAGCAAATGATTGGAATGTTTGACCAATCGAGCGAGCCGTGCAGCACGCAGAGGCGATAGAAGATAAGTTATCGAAGTTCGAGAGAGAGCAAAAAATGTTTTCACGCGTATTTTTTTTATTTTATTTTTTCGGAGCGATGCTCCGAAGTAAAAATAAATTCGACGGATAGCTGGTGAAAAAAAATGTTATTTAAATGACAAAAGGATAGATGTCCGAAATGATAAGTATAGATACACATACACACACACGCACACAAGCGAAAGCGTTTGACAGTTTACAGAAAAAATTTACACTCTCTCTACAAATGTGTGTGTATATATCGGAGGTTGGAAGCAATAGGAGGCCGCACGAGAGAAGTATTATACATTAATGCATGAAAAATGTGTGTAAATACTCGTTTAATCCCGCTGTTTACGAGGCGCGTACACTCACACAACCACATTTATATCTATACACCCGTTTATATACGTTCGAAGGACGCACACTAACACACACACACGAGCGAGTGACATGTGCGTTGCGGAATACTTATACAGAGTATACGTTATATTATAGGCACAGCTGAGCCGGAGTGCGGAGTTGTGGAGTCGTTTGAAATTTTATACGCTCGCGCCTCTGTTTGTGTGTCTGTGCGTATTTATACAGAGCGATTATACAGCAGCGAACGAAAAAAGATGGTCCAGAATCACGAACGCGCGAAAGAGGAAAGAAACCTCCCGAATTTATACTACTAGCCAAACTACTCTTTCTCTTTATACGAAGAAATACTTTTTTTTCGTCCGTATCCGACACAAGCGAGCGAGGCAAGGCAAGGCGAGGCGAACGAACGCCGCGGCCCGAGCAACAAACGCTGCTGCTGCGCGGAAAAACCATGTTCTGTGTATGTGTGTGTGCGCGCGAAGGAGCGGGAGTCTGCTGTGCAGTACACCCACTATCCTTAAAGTGCTCTCCGCAGCCGCCTGGCTGCTACTCCGTGGATGCTGCGCCGTGGCCATGTGCAGTACACACAGGGCTTATAAGCGCAGGAGAAAGAAAGAGAGAGAGAAAGAGAGAGAGAAAGAGAGAGAGAAAGAGAAAAGGTCTGGGTCGTGTGGTATATATACAAGGAAGGTATAGGTAAGAAAGAGAAAAGAGAGAAAAAGGATGAGGAGGCAGCAGGAGCAGCGCAGGCACAGGAGCAAACTCAGATGTGTGGAATATATATACTGCGCATTATCTCTTCTCTCTCTCTCTTTCAGCATCTCTCTCGGCGTGCATAGGAAAAAGAAAGGCCTCAGGACACACGACTGCTGTTGCTGTTGCTGCTGACGCTGCCGTGGCTGCTGCTGGGGTCAACGTGCGAGATGCCGCAACGTCTACTACCCATAATACGGGGGACTCGACCGACACATATACACCGCGCGAACCGTGCGCCGCGTTATTATTATTAAAGCCGCAAGATTGTGTTGAATGAGTGTACACACATCTGTGCAATAATACGACGCTTCATGGTGCACAGTACAGGATTAGCGTAAGGATTCGCGCCCCGCGTCGTCTATTAGCCGCGTTGCAGTGCCGCATATATACACTGCTACGAGCTGATGACTACGCGCAAATACACGAAGTAAATAAAATATATTACGTACGTTATAACGAGTGTTTGCGGCAATCCTCGCTTAAAGCATATGCTTACGAGAGCATAATTTTTAAAACAAACCAGTGTAATAAGTCCTCCCCTCCTCGTCGTCGTCGACGCGACCTCCTCCTCGCGGTGGAGCGAGCACTAGTTGTCGTTAAGATACAAACGCGAGGGCGTTTAAAGGAAATGTTGAAATGTTTAAAGAAACGTTTTTACAACACTGTTGCTGCTGTGTATAACGACGCGTTATATTCATATTCGCGCTCATACGTACGCACACTCATTACTCGGAAAGGGTTTTAAAATCTTGGCGCGCGGATTCTCCTCTCTCTGTCTCTCCTTTTTTTTTTGTTAAGCTCTTTGTCGCGCGCTTCCATTTACGCGCGCTTATAGGACGCGTTTAATGTTTATGTACCCGCGCGCCGGTAGACACTTTTAACGCGGGTCCCTCAGCTGCTGCTGCTACTACTGCTGCCTACTATTCCTCCTACTGCACTGTAAATTCCGACTGTTTATTGCGAAAGAGACGGGCGCTTTTATACATTATTTGAGGCTTTTTGCGTAAAATATATTTACGCAGATTTTTATAGGCAAACTTTGTCGTCTTCGTCGTCGAGCAACGACACACCAACGAGTGCAAATATACACACTCGCACACACCTTGATCGTGCTCGCGAAAGTTTTTGATTTATATTTACCCTCGACTTCGAAAATCACGGCGCAAAAGACGACGACGACGATCGAGTAGAGTGCCTTGTGCTGTGTGTGCTCTATCTTTGGCGAAATCCGCATGATTTTAATCTCTACACTCTCGGCACACGGTTTACACGGTATTTTCCGCATCTCGTCGGGGAGTTAATTCGCCCGCGTGCGCGCGCGACATCTGCAGCGGAGCAGCGCGCGCCCATGCCCCGAGAGAGAAGCAGCCCCGTTTGACAGGCGCTTTCAATTCTTGCGCGCGAGTACGAGGCGCCTTTTTATAATCGCATTATCGTTTGAGAGAGAGAGAATGAGAGAGGCGCCCGACACTTCTGCTCGGCTCAATTCTCTCTCTCGCTCTCTCACTTTAACTCTCTCAAAGTACATAATGTATGACCGGCGGTCTACAATGAACTCGACGCTTCTTTATCTAATATTTTGAATCGAGCGTTTATGTATACACAAACACACGGACACACAACGCGATGCGATAAAGTCACTCACTGAGCTTCTTATCCGCCTTATAAATAGCCGCGTTGAACGCCGAGAGCGCGGCTAAATGAGAGGCCAAATTTTCCTCGTCAACCGGAGCATAATGTAAAGAGATTGCGAGCGGAGCAAGGCAGCGAATGATTATTATCGATGTTATATAGAGAGAACGACACCCGAGCTCGAGGCTTTTAACCCGAAGCTCGGGTACTGCATCATACGCAGCCAGTAGAAGCAGGGACGACGATCGAAGTCGACTCGTCTCTCTCTCTCTCTCTCTCTCTCCATAACACAGCTTGCGAGCTAGCACAGCAGCTCGGCTTGAAAATTCAATAAAGGTTGCTGGCCTGAGCTTGAGCGTAGTAGCTCTATCTCGACGTCGTCTATATATCCCTGCGCCACGCGCGCCTATACTTTACCTATCTCCGATGATTATTTAATAAGGGCAGCCGAGGAGCAGCAGCATCAGCACACCGCGTATAGGTATGCACACGAAATTAGCCCAGCCTGTCAGCTGTTCGCCCCTGCGCGGGGATGATCTCTCTCTCTCTCTCTCCGTCTCGTTCTATCGCGCGCGATACGGAGGATTCTATATATAATATAACGCGGGGCGGGGCTCGGCTGCGGGACGACGAGCTTTTGCCTCGTCGCGCTACGCTACGATGTAAACACGACGAGATGTTTTCCTCCTTTTTTTCGTGCTTCACCTCGCCTCTTTCTCTGCGTATACACGCACACTTCGTTGACAGTCTTTGCCTGCGATATAGGTGTACAAGCTTTTCTCGAAAGGCTATATTTCATGTAACGCGCACGCAATCGGAAAAGAGAGACAGAGAAAAAGATGAAATTGTTGCCACAAAAGAGGATCAATATTCATAAAGCATTATTATCCCGACGCGTGCTCCTGCTGTCTTTCTGTCTCTCTCTCTCTCTCACTCTCGTACTATGTATGTATACATACATTTCCAGCCTGTCACGGAGTCGTAAATTTGAGGGGTGAAGCGTGCGCGTTCATATACATATAGCGTGGTATATACATTTTAAGCGCGGCGTTTTTTTCGTCTCGGAAACCATCGGAATGCAAATATAATGCGAAAAGCTTTTACGCACATATAGCTGATGCTGCTGCGCGAAAGTCACTGCGGCGAAGTGTACGATTTTTTTTATATCCTCGTTCCGAAGATTTCGATGAAAAATACGAATAAAAAAGGTTTCTTCTCCAGCCTTCTTGTCTTTATTCATTTTCAATATCAAGAAGCGAGATAATGTGCACGTATGTAAATGTGTGTGCGCAAAGGCATTCGTATGCCAAACACGTGTTGACATTTTTTCGGACGATGCGAAGAGGCAGCGGTAGTGGCGAGAAAGAGATATAAGCAATACGTTTCCGCGAACCCTCCGCATTCTTGAAAAAAAATAATGTAAAAATACTCCGCCAGTTGCGCGAACGCACTCGCATATATCCCTGCTGTCGCTGCTAGTAGAGCATAAATATGACCGATGATAATAACAATCATGCGCGAAACTCACCCTTGCTGTAATTCTTGTCGTTCATCATCGTGAGTCCGGCGCCGTCGTTGCGATCGAGAAAGGTTCAACGAAACGCTCCACCTCGTCGTCGCCTCCTCCGCTGGGAGCTACGACTCCCGGAAGCCAACGTAAAGGAATTCGAAGGAACAACGAAATATTCGAAACGCAGGGCACTGATCCTTTTTTATTTTTTATTATAAAATATTTTTTCGGCTCTCTCTCTCTCTCTGGCCTGTCCGGCCTGCGGCCACTATAAATACAGGAGGCGACTAGCGCCGGCAGTGGCTGCCGATGTGCCTCGAAACACCCACCATCTCGCACCCCCGTACGTCTACTATATATGCAATATATAGACTATGGGTCGCACACGCACACACCGTCACGCACTTTGTATAAGCACAACACCAACGCAGGACAGAATAATAGAGAGACACACACACGCACACACTATATTATGATAAACAACGGCGGGTGTGCAAACAACCCTCAACCGTGCGAATACGATTTTCAAACTTTATTCACGACACAGCTTTTACACGATGAAGAATTGCCGAACGCGCACCATGGCCTTTTTCGGAGCTGCTGCAAGGCGCGCAGGAACACGACTTGACGACGGCACGCAGCAGCTTTTTTTGTGCACTCTCTGCAGCGCGAAAAATACGTACTTTGGTTGTTTGTTTGTGCTATGACAAGTCGCGCACGGCAGCGACGAGCTCTACAAAACGCGTTACAAAATATTCATACGTGTATGGGCATAAATGGAACGCGTTGCGCTGCGGTTGTTGTTGCGAGGCGAACGGTTGCCACCCGACTGACACAACGCGCGCAGTAAGTTCATCGCCGCCGCGGCCGCCACCACCACCACCGATGCCTTGCCTGCCTGCCTGCCGCTGCGGCCGAGCATATAGAGTCGGAGAAGCCGAGGCTGCTCCACTATGCTATAACAAACGCGTGCAACTCCTCCACCATCGGCCGCTTCTATATGTATATTATATGCGTGCGTACGTGTGTGTAAACTAGCTCCTTCTCTTTCGCACGCGCACATATAATACGCGAGATTAATGTGTGTACGGCTCGCAGTCGCCAGAGATCAGTTGCAGACGCCTTTCGACGCGCGGACGAGGCTTCGTAGAGTTTGTTATTCTACTGCTTGTATTTTGTTTTTTTCTTTCGAAACTCCAATTTTTTCAGAGTCATGAGCTCGTTCGATATGAATGACATAGGAATAATGACATGATTCTGATGTTTACAAACGGATTAGATTACTTCGTACGAACAGTTTATAAAGATCGCAAGTGTAAACAAAAGAGATGTCGATAAAGAAGATTGCGTTTCTTATAATTTTTATTGAAATATTTTTTGCTGATTAATAACTTCGTATTACTTTTACTTGTTTTCAAATTCAATTTATGTGTTAAAAATTACAATAACTGTGATGCACTTTTATGTAGCAAACAACCTTATCGACGAAGGGTTGCGTATCGATAATCGAGCGCGCAGCAAACCGAGGGGGCAGCACTCGAGCGACGATTCTGCGGAAAAATTGTAAAGAAGACTCCGTTAAGTAGTGCACCCAAGTGGCCATCTTAATAACTGCGCGAAAGAAAGACCTAAGATTTGAAAAATTTGCAAATAGTCTATTCAATGGAACAACAAACTCTTGGCTTGGGCCATTTGAAGCAACTTCCTTGAGTTTTTTTACACAATAGTAGCTATAAAAGTGTCGATTAGCTGAATCGTAACGCAGATATAAGTCGTTCATTGCCCTGCAAAATTTATTACTAAATTTTTTTTCGCCTAATGTCAAGCATTGCATTGACAAAAAAATGAGTGGCTGTTGCTCAGAGCACGAAATGGAATTAAATAGGATTGAATTTGTAGGTTCCGTTGAACTGCGATCCATGAGCAGCTATAACGCTTAATGCTCATTGTTTGACATCGTTTTGCGCACGATGATGATTTCCAGTTTCTCTAGGTCAGTTTATTGTTTTTTGCGTTTTTACTTCGGGTTAGATGTGGATTGGAGTGTAAGGTTTTACTAATTTTAGCTTGAATTAATGATTTTTATTTTTATTTAAATATATGAGATTTAAATATCGAATTCAACTCTTATGTATTTATCATACTCACGCGTCGTGGTTAGCTCGTTATTTGATAAAATTTCTACCACCTTGGCTCCGTCTGCTGGTATTGATTCCGTTCAATATTCGTAATATTTGGCCACTCGAATTACTCGCTTATTTCTTTTGTTCACGTGGGCGAGTCGACAATCTGATTTTATAAATTATAATACACACTAATTTTAATTGAATTTAATACAAAAAAGGTAGTCTGGACAAGTCTTAAACTCAATAAAATGGAGTTTAGTGGTAAAATCAACAACAACTTTGTTGCCAAGTAATTGTCATTGTGTACATTAAAATATCCAAATAATGTAGTAAGTTCATTTGTTTAAATTAATTGATATTTGCAGAGTAAAAGAGGAGCCTAATGAGTTTTGCTACAACGAAAATGACTGTGGTGAAATAGAAAACCAATCATCAGATTCTACAAATTTGCAATACCTTAGGAGTCTACAAGAGAATACCGTAGGTTCATTCAACACTAAACTATAATTTTTTTAAACGAAATTTTAATAAAACTTCGATTCATCACAGATGGATACGAATGACAAATGTGAAGACCACAAAATTAAAGTAGAGTTTGAGTGCAAAGATGTAAAACTCAATGTGAATTTATTAGTACTCGATAAAGTCAACGAAAAAATGCCAACATTTCAACCTAACCTCGAAAATAAAGTAGAGTTTGAGTGCAAAGATGCAAAACCCAATGTGAATCTATTAGTACTTGATAAAGTGAACGAAGGAATTCATGAATTTCAACCTAACCAAGAAATTAAAATAGAGTTCGAGTGCAAAGACGTGAAACCTACACTAAATTTATTGGTACCTTATAAGACGTTTACAAAAAAGAGCAGTCTGAAACCCCATAATGATTCAGTTCGCAATAATCGAAAACCTCATAAGTGCGATGTACGCGAAAAGTCATTCGCATTTAAAACTGATGTAAAACGCCATGTTGATTCAGTGCATAATCGTATTACTTACCCGTGTGAAATTTGCGGAAAGACATTTGCACGTAAGATTAGTCTGAAATTACATATTGATTCGGTACACAATCACACAAATCATTCATGTCACACATGTGGAAAGACATTTTCACATAAGGGTAATTTAAAAAAACATATTGATTCAGTACATAATCATATCAATCATGCATGTCACACGTGTGGAAAGACATTTTCACAAAAAAGTAATCTGAAAACCCATATTGATTCAGTGCATAACAATCGAAAACCTCATCACTGTCATATATGTGGAAAAACATTTTCACATAAAAGTGATCTGAAAATCCATATTGACTCAGTGCATAATCGTATCAATTATCCATGTCACATGTGCGGAAAGACATTTTCACAAAAAGGTTATCTGAAGCTCCATATTAATTCAGTGCATAATGGTCGGAAAGCTTCAATCAATCACTCATGTCACATGTGTGGAAAGACATTTTCATACAAGAGTAATCTAAAAACTCACGTTGATTCAGTTCATAATAATCGAAAACCTTATATTTGCGATGTATGCGGAAAGACATTTGCACAAAAGATTCAACTAAAAATCCATATCGATTCAGTACATAATCATATCAATCATCCATGCCACACATGTGGAAAGACATTTTCATGTAAGAAAAATCTAAAACAACATATTAATTCAATACATAATCGTATTACTTACCCGTGTGATATTTGTAAAAGGACATTTTCACAAAAAGGTCGTCTAAACACCCACATTGATTCAATTCATAACACCTTAAAACTGTGATGTATGCGAAAAAATATTGACTCGAAAGAGTAGCCTGAAAAAATTTGTTCGATGCATAGTCGCGTTACTTATATTACTCTGTAACATTTATAGAAAGACACTTTCCCAAAAAGGTTATCTTAAGTTGAAAATTGATTAAGTTCATGGTGAGGAGTCGTCTCCGTGTTCACATCGATTCAGTGCATGATTATATTACTTACCTATGTGAAATTCGTGGAAGATTATTTTCAATAGTAATGTTTGTAAGAAAACACTCTGTCATAAAAATTATCTTGAAACGACAACTCCAAAAAGAAGTGTCAAGTGTACGAGAAAATATTTAAACAATCTGTTCAATTAAATTAACTATGAAAGAAGAGCATGCAAATATAATATAACTTTAATGATATAGTTTATATAATAAGTTTGTTAATTGAGTCATTGATCAATTGTATTTATTTAAATTATCTGTTAATTTAAAAATTTAATGTTATATGAAATAATATAATAAAAGTTTTTTTCAAAAAAAATTAACATACTTGAATTACGCTTGAATTTGTGCAGGATGGATCAATCGTGTTTTTTGTCACTTCCGAAGACTTATTATAGAATTGTAAAGATAAAGAAAATTTCTCTCTATTTTTAATTCACATTGGCCACACATTGTTTTTCAATTTTAATTCGTCACTATTTGTAAAAAAATACTGCAAGAATTTCGGTCGTGACATATTGTTACATGATTTCAGATCCCGATAGTACTTGACCGTACGAACAAACGGTAAACAGAGCGTAATCACGACAGCCCGAGGAAGTCGGATCGTTGCATCTTAATTTGGCGTATAGGATTAAACAGGAAACGCCTGCATCGTCGCAGTCGTCGCCACTGCCAATTGCAATTCAAATTCGTATCCGACCGATAGTCCGTTTCGCGAATGAATATTACAACGCAATGCAACGCAGCAGAGAACAGAGAACCTACAGAGCATCGATGAGTATAAATATCAAATCACCGAGTCCGATTAATATGCGACTTTTCTATACACATTACCGATCGTCTGCTCCGTATCAAATAGTAAACGAGTGTGCCAACAGATTATTATTCTAATCGGTTACGCGAACGTATCGTTGACTGTATGGTTTCATTCAACTGCAGGGACTGTATATCGACGGCGTTATCAATGTTTGCTCGCGTGGATCGAACTTTACAAGCCGTGGAAAATGATTTTTAAATGAAAAATTAATTCGGAGCAGATATCGAGACAACGATTTATAGATATATCAAAGGAAATTTATCATTCATATACTCAGGACGATTCGCGCGTGATTATAGTATAATCGTCCAATAAACAAGATATATAACAACTCGTATATCGCCAAACAAAGTCACGACTGCACTTCCACGTTTAGTTAATTATTCGCCGCTATTACAAATGATAAAAGGTCACAATCGCTTCTATGTAATCGCTCGCTTACACACGCCGGCTGTCAGGAAGTTTCCTCTGGTTCGATAATTTTTCTCCTCCGATAGTTTCACACGCAGACAGAGCAGCAGTCGAGCGTCGGCCGGCCTGCCGACTATGCATCCGATGAAATTCTATCGATTTCCATTTCTATATAATGGACACGTTGGCTCTCGCCAACACACGGATGCAAACTCACACACATACACGCGCAAACGCAAGCAGATTCTGTGAGATAAAGGTTTATTGCTTCGTCGATGGCGAGGCCGAGCAGCAGCGCCGGCGAGAAAGAGAGAGAGAGTATATTACGCGCGTCTGTGAAAGTTTCTCATACATGCACGTATAATATGTGTGTCGGGCGAGGTAATTTTTTTTTCCTTTCCTATCTTGACTTTTCTCCGCCACGCCTTTTTTCCTAAAAGTGCATTATAGCTGGCGCGAGTCGCTCGTTGCGCCATCCGATTTTCCATTTACATGCGGTTTACGAATATTTCGCACATTTACAAAACGTATTAGAGGCTGTTTGCGCGGGGTCGAAGAGGCCGCTGAATGAGCTATACGCCCTGCCACAATGGCCCCTTTGCATATCTAGCCTAATGAGCGTATAAGAAGTACTACAAGAACGACGTCTAATAATAATTGCAGCTCACGCGACGACGCGAGCAACGATTTCAAGGTACACGACTAGAGGTACTCGCATGTATATGCAGAGCGTAGGTACGTACTACCCGAGAGAGATACAAGAGCGATCTCGAATTTCAATTTTCATTCTCTCCTTTGTGCTTTATACAGAAAAAGCAAGCCTAGACCTTTTTTATCGGATTCGGCGCTGTACACTTTCATCCCGAGCTCTTATGCAGCCCGCGCGTAATATAAAAGCGCAATGTATATAAACGCACAAAGATTTCCGTGTAACGTAATGTACGCCCACACGCGAGCTCAGCACTTTTCATCTTATTTTCGTGGACGACGACGATGATGCGACGAGAGCTCAATTTTCGAGACCGCTCCGCTGCGCCACACATCATGAGAATGATGTTCCCTTTTCTTCTCGTGCGGCGGCTCAAGGTTATATACCAGCTTGTACTTTATAATGCGCGCATTTCTCATACATAGCGGCCACGAAAGCAAATCAGTGTGTGCATGCAGTTTGGCCGGCGAGACAAATTCTTTTGCTGCTATATAGCGCGACGCGCCGGGGGAAAAGATGCTGCTGCTACTGCTGCGACAAGTAGTATTTGCTGAAGTGTGAGATATATAATAACACTGAAACGAGGAATGAGAGATGTCACATTCGAGTTGAAGAAATTTATTCTTTTTATGAGTCGACGCTTTTTTGATTGAATTTGTATGAGCCGATGATTGTCATAATTTCAATCGATAAATCAAATATGTATTATCCACCAAACCGCGTCATCAAGAAGAGAGCATATGGAAAATGGTGCTCGCGTCGCTTTCGAGCCTCAGCCATATACTAATTTCGCTACCGGGTTAGTAGTCGTCCGAATTTTCATCAGGCACACTAACACTTTTGCATGGCACGTAGTATTATAAGATGCACGTATAATCGTCTGTACGGCCTATACAGTGGACTCTCGTCGTCTTCAACGTCGTCTGTCCCGTATTATATAAATATAACGGCTAGTGAGCGACGACTTGTGGCTTCTTATTACGTTTGACACAGTTTCGCGCGCGTCTACGAAGCTCTCTTGGGCTACCAGCAACAGCAGCTGTGTTGTCTCTTGGCAAATTATTAATTTTCTTGTCGCTTATTTATGCATTAAAATCACAGCGTCAAACGGTCGCAGCCGCGTATCTCGGCTATATTGCGGCGTCGTTTTAAATTTGCGCCTTTCGGAGAAGAGAATGTCATCCGCACGCGACTCGGCGCGAGCTCTTTCTTTTTTGCTTGTTCGAGCGTGATGGGCATCGATTTTAGTGTTCGCACCTTTGTACAAATATAAGGAAAGCAATAAAGAGAGAGAGAGAGAGTCGAAATAAAAAATCTACCGTTGATCGAGCGAAGCATTATATCCTAGTATTATTATCGATAGTTTGTGTGCTTCGCTCAACACACAGTGTATATAATACAATGCAACGGTACTGTGTCGGGCCGCAGCTGCTGCTGCACTGACGATATTATAAAAATTACAATGCCCCCCAGCCGAGAGCACACGGGCTAGACAAAAAGTTTTAATCGCTCGTACGTTATAAGACAGAGAGAAGAGAGAAGGTGGATTATAATATACACACAAAGAGTCGCGCTTTATTTCCATAATAATATAAGCCACTCGTCGGTGCGCGCGCGAGTGGAGATCGCGCGCACCAGGTGAGAACAAAGAAGGAAACATTCAAGTGCGAAGGAATTAAGTTATATGCTTGAATGACCACTCGAGCGGCTAATTTTCTAATGAATTATGTAAACGAGCTGGTATTGTGGTGCTGTACCACTTTGTTGGACATTATGAATGTATTGGAAATCTCGATAACATCGCGACTTGGCGTTGTCGTCGAGTTGCTGCCGCTTAGTTCGATTTTTTTCACATTTTTCAGAAGGCAGCTGGCTGCTTGTCGGACGAGCAATAAACCAGCTTTAAGCAGGATATTAAATAACCGAGCGACGTAATCAACGTACAAATGTATAATATTCATTTTTTTCTCCCTCCATGATGGCGGTAAAAAAAGATCGAGCTAGTGTACGTTTAAATTTCTCGATTTTACGTATTATTGCCACGCGCTCGATTAAAAAAAAGAAAGGATCGCAGCTCGCGTATACTATCGCGCGCTATATATCATATACTATAACATTGTAATTTAATTTTCCGAGGGCACGTAGTAGCGTATCGATATCGATGTTATAATAAAACGCGGTTGTTTATTACTGGCGCGACACGAGTCGCTCGATGCTGGCAGTGATATAGGTATTATACGCGTGTAATATCGTTATATACCTCTACCTTGGAGCTGACCGCAGGACTCTCCGACCGTATGGCTGTGCATTATAATGTGTGCCTGTATAGAGCCGTATGCTGGAGCCACGATGTGATATTTGCTTAAAAAACGTTTAATTTACAATCAAGCCCGTCTCAGATGCGTATGCCTATACATCTGATCAAGAAAAGTCGTTCGACATACGTCGCTGTATCTAATTTCATTAAAGGCAGATTGCCTGGGTTAATGGAAGTGTCAATTTTTTGCTTCCTTCATTGGGAAGCTTTGTAATAGGATCGAAAATGAATTCTTGAACCAGATGTCGTATTATTATAATTATTATAAGTATATTTTGTTTGTATAACTTTAAACTAGATTGAAGTACTAAATGTCAGTATACGTGTGTTCAATTGCATGCCAAACATTATTTTAAAGACGAGACGATTAATCGTATCGAAATAAACTGAATTTATTATCAATTAGGATGAGGATGAAGCCAAAAACTGTTATTTTACGATCAATTCTAAAAAAAAATTAGGTTGTTTTGCAAAGTTGAAGTAATCTTTTTAACATTTTTACCATAATTGATAAATAAAAGTAGCCAAGTTTTCTTTCAAAATCAAATAATTTGGATTCGTAGATAATTTGAACATGTACAAGTTGGAAATCAAGTATTTTTTAAAGAATATTTAGAAATTTATAAATGTTTTATAGATGGTTCAATACAGATTTATTAGCCTAAAAAAGACAATCAACTTTTGTTGAAACGTTGCCATCAACAAAAAACTCCCAAACAAGATCTTTTGGGTTCCTAGTTCGTAATATCCTTACTACCGTCCAATATAAATTATCCGTGAATGAAACGATGAAAATAATCAAAATAAAATTTTTTTTCAGGAAACTGTTTGACAATAAATACTTAATTACTACAGATAACCATGAATTTCGAAGTTCACTCGAAGTTTTTTTTAAAATTATGTATGGTATTTATGTGAGCTTTCAGAGTATCTTCGCGGTCATATGACTTGTGGCAAATATCACATTCAAAGGATTTCCTCCGAAGATGTACTGCTTTTATGTGCTTTTTGAGATTACCATTATGTCCAAATCATTTATGACAAATATCACATTTGAAGGGTTTGCTACCATTATGTACTACACTTATGTGCCTATTGAGGATACCTTTTTTCCAAATAATTTATGGCAAATATCACAATCAAAGGGTTTGTTCCGATTATGTACTATATTTATGTGTCTATTGAGATAACCCTTATGGCCAAAGGATTTGCGACAAGTGTCACACTCGAAGGGTTTTCTCTCATCATGTACTGCATTCACGTGACGATTGAGGTTGCCTTTTTGTCCAAATGATTTTTGACAAATTTCACAATCGAAAGGTTTGTTACGGTTATGCACTATATTTATGTGTTTATTGAGATTGCTCTTGATTCCAAATGATTTGTGACAAATATCACATTCGAAGGGTGTGCTACGATTGTGTATTACATTTATGTGTTGATTGAGATTGCCCTTGAATCCAAATGATTTGTGGCAAACCTCACACTCGAAGGGTTTGCTCCGATTATGTACTGAATTCAAGTGACGTTTGAGTTTATTCTGGTATCCAAATGATTTATGACAAATATCACATTCCCAGGGTTTGCTAAGATTATGTACTACATTTATGTGTTGATTGAGATTGCCCTTGAATCCAAATGATTTGTGGCAAGTCTCACAATCAAAGGATTTGATTCTATTATGTACTAGTTTTTTCTGTTTATTGAGATTAATCTCGTTGGATAATGATTCGTGACAACTTTCGTATTCAAAAGCTTTGCTTTTATCACGTACTGCGTTTGTCGTCACTTTCAAGATTTGCTGGTAGCTAAGTGCATTTTTACTTATCTCATTAGTCTGAATTGGGGTTTCCATTTTTGTAATAGACTGAAAATGTTGAGACTCAGATTTACAGATGTTAGTAGATGACGACTTCAGTTCAGGTTTAACATCTCTGCACTCAAAATCTATGTATATTTTTACATCTAATTCTTCCTGTAATGCAATTGTCTCTTTAACGTAGATTTCCTAAAATTAAAATTGGATAATTGCTAGTTTCAAATAGTGAATTGACAACATAATTCAAGTCATTAAACTCACTGATGATTCATGAAGCGACGTTTCAAAATTTTCAGCTTTGCAATAGTCCATTGAATCTAGAACATAACCACCAGCTGTATTCATCGAAGAATCGTTTATCTTTTCCTTGATCCTGAAGAAAAAATCGAGTTTACTATTAGATTGCTAAAAAAATTTTAATGTTAGTGTAACTCACAAAAACGTTACCTAACTACATCACTGCTACCTTCCATTACTTTCTTGATTATGCAACTAGTCTTAATTTGATTTTCTATTTTCACAATAGATGGACAACTTTGATTCTCTGATTTGCACATTGTCGTCGATAGAGACTTTAGTTCAGGGTTAACATTTCTGCACTCAAATTCTGTCAATATTTTTTCATCTAATTCTTCCTGTACTGCGATGGTCTCTTTAATATGGTTTCCCTGAAATTAAAATGATGTAATATTTTTCAATAATAGAAAACAGAAAATGATTAAAATCATTGAATTTACCGATAATTGATGAAACAGCAAATTTTCAACATTTTCGATTTTGTAAGAGTTCACAGAGTTGAAATTATCATCGTTTCGATCCAGCCAAGTATCATTCGGCTCGTCTTTTACTCTAATGAATAATTAAGTGTGATAAAGTCATAGTTCAAAAGATATCATGGCATAAATAAAAAAAATAATACCTAAGTGTGCTATCTTTGTTTTCCATAATTTGCTTGATTTTAAGTGTACTTGCTGTAAATTTTCACGAAATACACCGAAAAAATATTCGAGGTTAAACATCTCGAGTAGCCAACACTGTACTTCGAATTCACCTATACCTACACTCATTTACGGACATTATTTGTAAACACTTGCTCACCGAAGAATTCAGTTCGTGGCCAGCGACTGAACGCATTATTCGCATTAGCAAGGTTATCGTCGTGATTGTGATAGCTTCTCACAGTGACACTTTCCCCTTCCCCTTTCGACTGTCCATACCCAGTTATATACTGCGATTCACTAAGGCACTAACTTGACATTTTTTATTTGAGGATGGAAGTTGAACTATTTTATTGCAAAACATTGGAATCGTATAGGAAAGATTTTATCGTGAAAAAAACCACCTGTGATAAGTGGCATGCAGAAAATAATGATCGTGAAGTAATTGACATGGCTAATGTTAAAAATTTTAGATTTTTTTTCAGAGAATATTCTGTAAGAATTTACAATCATGCATTTATTCGAAGTTGATAAAATTAAAGATTATTTCAAAATCGCTCGCAGCATATGAGATAAGTTTGTAAAATTGAAAACATAATCGAAATAGAGGCCTGAGTAAAAAGAAAAATAAACCTGAATTTCGATTGTGAAGTCAAAAATATAAGAAGAATTGATACAAAAAATGCATCTGTATCGGTATATTCAAAATCCACATCAATGCAGTGCATATAGTGGTCTCAATAAACATGTCATTTAAATATGCACGTTGAATCAACGAATTATGATGATACTCATACGAAAGAATATGGTTGATATCCACGAGCAAAAAGGTCAACGCACCAAATTTGAGCTTTTTCGCACATTAAAAAAAAAAAAAAAAAAATACGCAGTTTCGAGTGTTCAGCCACTCTGCAATCGGCATAATAAATATCCATCGCTTTTACGCGCTTGCTTTATCTCGCGCATCCCATCGAATCAACGTACTATGCACACATGCAAGCTGCACGAGTGCTAGGCTCTCGCGACTTCCTTCGCGCGCGCGGCGCTTTGTTCTCCGAATTCGACGATGAGTGAGTTCGTCGCAGGAAATTCGTCATGCCCTTTCGTCTTTTTCTCTCTCTCTCTCTCTCTCTCTCTCTCTCTCTCTCCGTCGCGTATACACGTTTTTAAAGTTGTTGTTTTTTTTGTCATATGGTACATTATACACGAGCATTGTCTTCAACCCTTTGGTCGTGTGTGTCACCTCGCGATTGTGCAGAGCATATATAACGTATATGCATATATAACGTATAACATATAACAATAATAATGCGCGAAAACGAACGGAGAGAAGCGCGTCGTCGGTGACAATAATATAACGTCGCGCCATCAGACGCGTCTCTCTCTCTCTACATTGAATTTCTACAAAGCTATATACCTACACGGCAACTGTCTCTTTGACTCGCGTCGAGTCAATAAACCCTTGATACGGCGCCCGAACAAAAGGAAGACTCCCGCGCGCGACAACTGGATACCTGCACTCTCTGTGCGTAGTAGCTGCAATAATATCTGCATAGTATACGTTGTCACAGACGCGCGCGAAAATTTTTCACGCTCGTTTCCCCTCTCGCACGCAGCCGCATATGTACAATATATAAAGAGCGCCCGCGCGTGTGTAATCTCGCCTCTCTCTCTCTCTTGAGTGAAAAGCTCTCTCTCTCTCTCTCTCCTTCTGCTATACCGTTGCATTATAGGAAGCTCGGAGATACGCGTCGGAGCCTGCGACGCGCGAATCGTTTCACGCCACCCACGCGACACCGTCGACAAGAGACGAATGGAAGAAGAAGAAAAAAATCCACGACGTATAACCGAGAGGCAAAACAGCAGCCTAACTCACACACACACACACACACACACACACACACACACACACACACACACACACACACACACACACACACAGGTATTGCGTGATTTTGAGGCTGACGGTGGGGGGCGGCTTTTCATCGCGCGTGGGATACATAAATCCGCGCTCGCACACGTGTGCGTGGGTGGCTCTTATATGAACATGCACATCGAGCATCATTAGCCAATTGTATGATATAATCGATCGATATACGTGTCGCCGTCTGCGCAGCGCGTAATTCGACGACGTGCGAACATAGAGAGAGAGAGAGCTCCTTTTTCCAAAATATCGGAGTCGAGAATGAATATCATCGAGATAAGCGGCGCACCGAATCACGTGTGTATCGCTCTATACGTTTCTCTTATACAATCGTACTTATCTTTCTCTCTCGCTTGCGCGTCACAAAGGCGGCTCTTTATACATTGTCTCCTCTACGCTGTATATACCTCCGTCCTCTCTCGAGTGAACGATTCATCAACTAGTATCACGTATATTACATTATACACCGATGCAACGTCGGATATCTCTTTCTTTTTTCTCCTCTCGAAATGTAATGTAAGCGACTCTCTACCCTGCCAGATAAGAAAATACGCGTATATACATTGTCACATAGGCATCGCAGCGGCAGTAGCTCTTATATACATTGTAGTAGATATACAGCGAGTCGAGAATTGATATTTCGACGGTCGAGTTTCGAGTTGCGCGCGCCCCGACGACTACGTTGGATCGACGCAGGCGCACTCGTCTGTGTAGCCGACTTTTCCTTTTCGCGTATATTGGCCATATAGCAGAAACTATACTGTACTACCTATATTACGGCCAGATGCTCGTAGTCGCCGCCGCCGCCTGAATAAAGCCGTTGCTCGCGTGTGCTATAACGTGCAGCTCAGTGACTGACTGCTGCTCTGCTGCCGCTTGGTCGGTTCAGCGTCGCTGCCATCGGTTACGGAGTTTCAGTAGTAGCGAGCTCGCGCTCAGAGGCGCATCTACCTCCGCGTAAACACACACAAACACACACACCAAAAAACACATGAACGTCATACAGCTCCGACTTTAGTGCAGTCGTGCAGTGCAGTACACACGGTAGTAGCAGCTCGATACATATACGTATCGAGAGAGAGAAAGAGAGCGCGAAGCAGAAAAGTAAAAATAAAATAAAAAGAAACCATAGCCGTTTCGGAGTGCAGCGGAGCTATAAAGTATACACACAGAGAAGGCGAAATGCACCAGTGTCCACGGTGGTGCGAGCTCGTAGTATCAAGGACTCGATGCAGCTTACTACAACTGCAGTTATAACTGCTGAGTTTTCCGCGGTGTCGAGAGCTTCTTGTTATCGTGATCGTTATTTTGTTGTTTAGTGTCGTCGTTGTTTGTTGTTTAGTGTTGCTGTTTACGTTGTGCGCGTTCGATGATATCGAGGTGCAGCGAGTAAAAAATCCATTTGCTCCTTTTTTCGTCCGTGTCTGTATCAATTCACGTATCATCGTCTAAGCTCTCAAACGTGTGCAGTGTGTAGCGTGTATCTGTGCTACTGCTGACTGCTGTTATGCCAGTCAAAGTGCGAAAAGAGAGAGAGAAAGTGATTATCTTCAATTTACACACGTGTGTATAGTATCACGATCAGAAGAGGAACCCCCGCACGTACATCGTATTAAACATAAATATAAAGAAGAAGCAAAATAATGAGTGCGGTTTATAAGTGAGCCGTTGGCCTGTAAAAAGAGGTGCAGAGCAGGCTCGAAAACTGCGGGGCCCCCGAATTGCCCTCGCGCCCTCCCCTTCCCGCGTCAATTCAATGAGAGCCGACGAGATCATCCTGCCAGACATGGCCTCGGTCAAAGTGGCCGTTAGAGTACGGCCCTTTAATAAGAGGTTAGTACACACAGAGTACATTATATATGCCAGTTAATTGGTTGCTTTTTTTTCTCTTTCTTTCTATACACACACTCGTGTGCTGCTACTATATGCATTAAACTTGTAACACTCGTCGTTGTCTCGTTGTCGTTTACAATGTTATCGCACGCGTTTATAATGTACGAGGCGGTTCGTTCGCATTGTTATTTCGCGCGACGTGACGTCAGTTTTTTTTTCTTCTCTTTTTCGGAGTCTCTCTCTCACTCGTTCGACGGTGCATTGCATACATGTATAATATAAAAACAAAACAAACGCGCGAAATGCCGCGGATTTTCCTTTGTTTACGTTGCTCAGCAGTCGCGATGCACTGCAGTGCGGTTGCCTTCGGTTTTTTTTCCTTCTCTCCCTCTCTCTCTTCATACTTGCTTTCATCGGACCCAATATCACAACATGTAATATGCATCTCGCGAAGAGTGGGAGAATCGAGTATATTTTTTTTAGGTTACCAATTGCCTCAACACCTTTGTATTACATGTATACCTGTGATCGAACTGCTCGTACGTATAGTATTCATACGCTACGTACGAGCTCATGATCCACATTCGTTTTATAGTTCTCTCTCTCTCTAAGTAGCAAAAAAACGTCATTATATGCGCGCTCGGAGCGTTTACATGGTCTCTCTCTCTCACGAAGCGCTTGAATTTGTGCGACAGACATGCAACTCGGAACGCGAGAGAAGCTATTATAATACATTGATACGAGATAGACGCCTGCAAACTTAATTGAAAAAAAAACGCCGTCCCGGTTGTTTGTCAACACGAATGTGCGAACAAGATAAGGAAACTCCTGACACGGTGTACCACTGATACGGCTTTACTATTATTGTTATAGGGTACCGTAAGCGTGTCATAATTTTCGCAGCGACGATTGGTATCGGTGTCGTTGCCGCAGCATTTTTAACAATCGATTGCATAAAAACGACGCGTCGCGCGTACGATCAAGATCGGTTTACTCGCATGCATACCTCTATAACACAGTCTAATGGGAAGAAAATGAAAAGTACTCTTCGATGAACTCGCCGTACAGTATGTGTACTCGTCGCGAAGTGTATCGGAATGCGTATGTAATAGCAGCTTACTATATACACGAAGCAGAAGCTTCTCCGGCATGTGTGCGTGGAAAAGAGAGAGAGATACCACCTGCTGACCGTCCGCCTGTCAATCGAAACTCATATTATACGCAGCATTGAGACACTCTACTTCGCTCGCTCGCTCACGCACGCACACTTGCCGCCGCTGCCGCGCGCGTTTACGCACACACGTGTGTGTCGTGCAAAATACGACGACGAGAATATATTACACATATATCCCAGATACATGTATCCGAAGCCTCTCTCTTTTACATGGACATAATAACTATACGCATGAGTTGTGTACCGCAGCACGACGTACACACACATGCGAGAATGTAAAAGACACGCTCCGTTAGCGAATCCTTATTTGTTTTTGTTTGCTACCCCCCTCGTAGGGCAAATTGAGCGGTCGAGGTTGGTAATTGGATGCTTGACATTTTTTTTGACAGTTCTTTTATCTTAGTATTACGATAGCTTAAAAATGTTATGATACTCGTTCATTGATATCGTATACGCTATAATCCAGGCGTATTCGAGCAGTGTCACACTTTATGCACTCGTAATTTTCTGTGTTATCAATTATCCTTACCGTGTGGTCATTTTTTTTCTCTCTCGTAGTCTGGAAATTTACGACAGATCATTGTGAGAACTCGAGCTTGTGGAGTTCAACGCACTCGTTGTCGTCGTCGACGACGTGCATAGACGCAACAAAGGTAGCTGTTATTGTGCTTAGACATCGTCAGCACTTTTTTATTCTTCTTTACCTACAAACATTGTTTATGAAAAAAATCAAGTTCGCGTTAGTAAAAGCTCCAAAGCTCCGAACGAACTTTTGTGCAGAAGGAATCGTACACAAAAGAATATGCGGCTTCGCGTTCACACATTCACGATTTAATACGGAGCCGAGTTAGCCGAGCCGAATACATGTTTACAAAAACTACTACTTGAAAGATCCTACTCAAAACCATTAAAAATTTTTTCGATTTTTTCAAAAAAAAATTAAGCTAAAATTAAGCTAAAGTTAGCTAAAGTTAGGGTTTTTTTAAACTGCTGTACTATTTAAATAACCTTGAAAAAAAGCGAAGACGTTAATTTTTCTTTCTTTTAAAATTTGAAAGAAAAAAAGGATTTCTATAGATAAGAAAGTTTTGTTGTAGCTATTTTTAAGGTCATCATTTAGTTTCTCGTCGAAAAATACTCAGCACATGCCACAAATTAAAACTGACATTAAGCAAGGGATCTGTCCCTATTTTTACGACGGACGAGCGAGACCGCTGACCGCGTGACTTCGAGCGCCTGCCCTCACCTGGTTAAGAGGTAGAGAAGGGAGCGCCACAACGGTTCGAGCGGTGACGGACCTTTAAAACCCCGGGAGGAACAGAGAATCTCTCTCTCAAACTTCAACTCTCCTCGAGTCCACACGTGTGGCTGCGAGGACGCCACAAGTTAATCTTGTCGCTCATACGAGCTCTCTGTCAGAGTATTTGTAAATTCACGTTAAGTTTAAATAAAGTATTTTTATTCAGTTTTAAGTCCGAGGTTCGCATACTTCAATTGATCTACCTCGACGACACAAGACTGAAAATATGTATTCAAATAGTATTGTGAAAAAATTGAAGAAAAAAAGAATTACTAGAGTCACCTAACCAGTGAATGAAAGGTATCAAAAAAGTTTACTTAAATTTAGCTCAAATTAACGTTTTTTTAATAAATTAAAGGTTATTATGCAGATGGATTATAATAGTAAATGTCTTTCTTTACTGATTAGAATTTTTGCAGAATTTTTACTTTTAACTTTTATTACTAAAATAAGGGAAAAAATACACGATGCACCAGCGAATGAAACTTCTTTACCAGTAAATGAAACTATTTTCAGAGTCATTTAATTAATGATAATATATACAGAAAGTTGTTAAAAACTATTGAAATAGTATATAGTATTAATGCACAATTATATTATAAAATTTCACTACCGATGAATTAGTTTCAATCACTGGGGAGATGACTCTATATGAACCGAACGTGTTTAATAATTTTTTTGTGTGTAAAATTAAAGCGTATGATTTAATGAGCAAATATACAGAGACGAGCAGAAATATAGACAGACCCCTTATAAAGTCTAAAAAAGTACATTTAAAAATGACAATTCCCTTAAATTTAAGTTAACTTCATTTCTGATTTTATGAGACGACTGAAAAAGTTCTTTTTTTAATGACTTTTATTGTAAACTTCGATGAGGAATTTGACTTTTTTTATTAAAAATCATATTTGTATCCTCAAAAATTATTGTAAGTGGATCCTAATTCTGTCAGATGAAACGTTAGAATTTCTCATGCTTATACACCTTCCACCACTCTGTTCCATCCAACAGAAATTAAAGCCCACTTAATGTATACATATCTCGCGCGCAATCTTACACTCTGTCAGAATCTCTCCACTATAGAGACGAAGTTATGACGTCACGATTCGAATTTTAACGCGGGTCCATATTAGTATACTTTACACGCGTTGAAGCTCGCGACACTGCTGTCCTCTGGCAGCTAAAATTCGATGACTTCGCAATAACCTCCACCATATGTTCTATAGAGATCGTATCTGCTGGTAGTGCGTGTCCCAGTCAGTCCACGTTTCGGCGTCGTGGCGTGAGCAATGAAGTGTCGCGCCGACTGTGTATTGTAATTGTGTGTTGGGTGTGTGTTTGTGTGTGTGAGGTCGCAAAATGAGATCCATACAGGACAGCGATGGTTCTCTTAAAGAAGTGACATCTGATTTCGAAGACGAAGATGCGAGTAATTATTTTAGCAACAAAAAATTAGAAAAATTAAAGCGCTTTATAAAAAAGAACAATAATTGGGAGATCAATCAATTAGAACGAAATAAATTTCTTCGTAAACTTTTTCCCCTGATAAAAAATTGGAAGGGAAAACTTCCCAACCTTCGAGACCTTTTTCAACCCAAAGAAATCGATTCTCTTCTCAAGGATTCCCTCGGCTACATAGGCGAAAACTTCGGAAACAATCCAGGAGAAGGATTCATCAAGTTCGTGGTTCGCAGTGGCTACAAGGACGAGCCCGCGGTCAACAAGGACGGCAGGCCAATTTTGCGACGCACCACACCAATACACGCGGTCAGACGTTTCTCCATCTGCGGGATTGACGCAGCCAGCGAGCTCTTTCAAATATACGACAAATACAACATGAATTATACCGACGAGCGAGGCTTGACGCATTTCCACGTTGCCTGTGAGTTTGGCTTCGACGACGTTGTCAGGAAATTTCTCGAGCTCGGCCAGGACCCCGACATCTACAGTTACGTAACGGGCAATTACCCGCTCCACTTGGCTCTGGACCATGGTCACAAGGAGGTGGTGAAAATGCTGCTGAGATACGGTGCAGCTCCGCATTCGCCCAACGTCAAGGGATTGACTCCTCTGCATATGATTTGCGATAAAGGCGATGATAACTTTCTGGAGTTATTCTTCAAACTCATCGACGAATCCAATCAGGAGGTCAAGGTCTGGATTCGGGACAAATCTGGTAACACGCCGTTACACTTGGCTGCGATCTACGGCAATAAGAAGGTGCTTGAAATGTTACTGAGACATGATGCCGATCCAAATTTGACCAATCATGAAGGATTGACAACTACGCACATTATTTGTATGAGACGCGGCGACGATGAAGACTTGTTGAAGACGCTGTACGAAGTCTGCGACGAGAAACATCTGTGGGTGCGCAATGTCAAGAACAAGGATGGTAAAAAACCATCAGACTTGGCTAAGCGCTACAAAAACAAGAAGGTGGCCAGAATGATAAAGAGACGGCAACGCGTTCAAGTTCGTCGTCATGATGCGGATGTTTGCAGTATTTTATAATTTTTAGTGTTATTTAATGTTGTAGTTTTTTTTATATTGTTCAAATAAATAAAAATTTAAAAAATGAAATCATTAATTTGCTTAGATTTGAACTTTTTGAAGTTTTTATTAATATTCCTTACATCAATTTCGTTCCAACTATCTAGATACGTTGAAAAATAAAAAATAAAATCGACTCTTACGGGAGCCGAATGTAATAAATAAATGTTTGATACAAATAGTAGATTACACCATTTAAAAAAGTACTACTTTAAAAATAGTACGCAACTAAAGCAGATGTCAATCTTGTACTTATGCAAGATCGCCACATTCAAGATATTCGAGAGGGGAATCCTTATCTATTTTTGTTTCTATCAAATTGAGAGATCGAGATGGTAATTTGATGCTTGATATTTTTTCGACGGTTCTTTCGATTTCATGATGGATGGTTTATAAATATAATAATATCCGTTCGGTAAAATTGTATATTGAATTGTATAAACCACGTATACTCGTGTCCAATCCACGTAGTGTGCATTGTCACACTTTATGCACTCGTAATTTTCTGTATTATCAATTGTCCTTACCGTGTGGTCGTTTTCCTCTCTTCTAGTCTTGAAATTTATGACAAATCATTGTGAGAAGTCGAGCTTAGGGAGTTCAACGCACTCCTTGTAATCATCGTTGTCGTCGCCGTTGGCAAGCATAGATATAACGAAATTAGATGCTGTACGTGTTCACGCATCGTCAGGACTTTTCTTCTTCTTTACTTTTAAACATTGTTTATAAAATTATTGGAAAAAATCAAGTTCTCGTTAATAAATACTTCGAACAAACTTTTGTCCCGAGAGAATCGTATACATCTGCGTCTTCGCCTCCGCACACAAACACAAACACCCAAGACTTGCACAATTGTGCATTATGCTACGAAGCTGAGTTAGCCGAGTCGATATTCTCTTTTCTTTTTTCCTTTCTTATATACACGTGCACTGTATATAATATTATACTCCGCCACGCATGCATATAAGGCGCATAATATGTGTTCGCGTTATTGCTCTACACAGAAACTGAACACCTTGGACAAAACATTTGCGTTTCTCAATTGTATTGAGGCAAGCAGGTTGACTTGAATTTTTTTCCTTCTCCTTTTCTCGCCTTAGAAAATAAAATAATAATTTCGGTTAATTAAATACAATGTTCCGCTTGAAAAAAAATAGTGCTACACATATACGTAAGCACACGCGATCTTGGCATTAAAGCTTTTTTTCCTCTCGTTTTCACGCCATCGTATGATGTGTGTGTGTGTGTGTGTGTGTTTGCGTGCACACACATGCGTCCTCACATGGCCACGGAATCAGCTACTATAAGTATGTATTTGCCTGCTCGCCTACCACTGCTGCTGCCGCTGACATTGTAACGCATTCTCCTCCCGCGCCTCGTGCGCTCATGCTCTGCTCCAGATTGTAACTTAATCCGGTATTATATACGTACCTTTAGCGCAATCAATAAGCGTGTAGCTGAAAAAAAAATCGACTCGACACAAAGTTTTTCCTTCGGAGCAAATATACTCACTCATATATATTATGCAGGCTCTATTTTCTCGAATCGTTTGACGAAACTTTGCCCGCGAAAAGCTCGCGCGCGCGCTCCTATATTCATACCTAAAAATGTGGGTCACAATTTGTGTGCGCTCGCGAGCCGTTAGTTTCGAGATGTGCTCTAAAAATCCGTGAATAATTTTTAGTGAAAATAAAGTAAGAAAGAGATGGCAATGATTTATCTGTGCGAGCGAGCCTGTGCCGCATCCATCTCGCTGTGTGTAAGAGTATTTTTTAAAAAGAGACACGAAACGAGAATTAATCACCGGAGGCTGAGCTTTTGAGCGCACAACTTTTTTTTTCTTTACATTGAAATAAAAACTCATGAAAATTTTTCAATTGCATACGATCAAAATTGAATAATCCTCTCATTCATGCTTATTCTCATTTTTTTTTCAGGGAGCTCGATATGAACGCCAACCTGATCGTACAAATGGAAGGCCAGCGGACTCGGATCTTAAACACAAAGGTAATGTATTTTGAAACTACTCTCCATCGTACACTTTCGGATTCGATTGAGTCGAAAGAAGTAAAAAAAAAGGAAAAAAAAAGATGGAAAACGTCGAGAGCCGGAGAGAAACAGAGAGAGAGAGAGAGAGAGAGAAAAGTATTGGCACTGCTGGTATCGACGATATTACGTACCGAGAGCGGCTCTCTGCGCGTAAATTATCTTTGACCCTATTAAGATTCCTGTTTGAGAAATCTATAAATTTCACTGGCGTCGCGTGGCGCCCGGTGCGGGTGAACTTTCATTCTCTCGCCGTTGCTGTTGCCGTTGCTATTACTACAAGTAAAATCATACACAACATAATATGATACCTGAGCTCTGGTGCGCTTGTCGCGTGCGACGATTAAATCGCCTTTTTTTATAGGATGTCAAAAAATGACAATAACAAGCCGCTCGCTGTCGTGTATACCATACGCAAACACGAGACACACACGCGCAGTTCTCTTAATGAACTTTTAACTTCTTCCTTTTTTCTCTCATCTCGTATTATACCATTGAGAAAGTCATGCGATCAACAACGAGAATTAATCATCGTATCTGCTTAATTTGACACGTCGCGTTAATAATCTAGAAAATGGAAAAAAAAAACTTTTATCGTCGAAAATTTCACACCCGAGACCCCTTGCGTATTATATACAAAAAGTGTATGTGGAAGCAGACATGCATGTATTCGTGCGCGGCGCATTATAAAGCCAGTGGAGGAATGTGGGTCAGAGTATTTTTTACGAGTTCGGAAAGTTTCTCGTACGTAGCGCCGAGCTACATAAACCGGCCAAAATTACGTGTCTGTGCGCGCTTCGAGGAAGGAAAGAAAAAAGGCGATCGGCTGCTTGGGGGCTGCTGCAACGATGTGCGCTGCAGCAGATGCCACACAGTGGTATAAGTAGCAGCTCGCTCTCTGCAATATAACACTGGTAATCTCAGAAGTCGATGCGCGCGGTAAAACTACTTTTATGTACGTAAACTTCGGGATAAATCAATTGTCCGGGACACACGATTTTCCGTTCCAACGAAGATCGCGGATAGTTTCGAAAAATCTTAATTATCGCCCATCGATCATCCCCTTCTCTCTTTTACTTGCTCCTTTTACGTAATAATACACGCACGATCGAGTTTACGATCGCATCGCCGCGGCGCAACGGTAAAGAAGCTAAAAGTCCGGCCGGTGTATTATAACGAGGACTCGATTGTGCAATCTATATTAATGCAGCGCGCGTGGAGCTTTATATATAACATTCGTCGTTCCCCTGCTATGCCGTAAACGGCCAAAGACTTCCTGCAGCGATAGAAACCGTTGATGCTAGTGCTACTGCTCGGCCGGAAGTAAAATATTTTTTCTAATGCTACTCGCATCGACCTTCTCCCTTTTATATATGTAACGCATACTAACTCTTCTTACATATATATTTCTCGTCTCGCTATCTTCATCTACTGTGTCTTCTTCTTCTGTGTCGTCTTCTTATTCAGCAGCAGCTCCCAGAGCACACGTACAAAATAACTGCACAGAAGCGTAAAAGACTATCTTAGATATCGAGGGAAAATGGCAAAGTTAGCTCGGCTCCATCGTCGGGCGCAGCATCAGCAGCAGCAGCAGTGCAGGCTATTTCCGCAAGAGCTACTGCAACTACTATATACGCCCGACCGACCCGCTTTTCTGCACATTGTGTGCGCGGATCTATCCTCTCTTTTTCAACTCTGTGTCTCTGGCGCCCCTAAAACCTTTAGGCCTTTTTTCGCTTGTTCTTTTTTTTTTTTTTGCTTTCAATGCCGTGCAATGTCGAAGGTTGTGCCGGGGAATTTATTTGTTTTTCTTTTTCCACAACGACGACGATGTCGACGACGAAGATAGAAACGCGCGAGGCGACTTCTAGCAAAAGGGGATAACACACTTTATGCGTATCGACTTTTCCGTTGTTTTTTTTCAGTCCATTTGAAATTGTCATGCGTAGTAGGGTTGAGCGATAAAAACGTCCTCATTCGATGAAAGTCGCACTGTATATAAATATTTCGCGGCTTCTCGATTTTCTCGTCGCCTCTCGACTCAATCTCGAAATCTATAAATGTGTAAATATGAAATTATTATAGCGTGTCGACTATTACGATCGATCTCGACTCTCTCGGAAACCGCTTCGTCTCTAATATTAAAGCAAAAGACAATCGAATTTTGAGTTGAAGCACGTGCAACCCCTGAGAGAAAATCGAAAATCGACCAAAATGACATTAGCAATGACAGAGCCCGTGCGTGATGTCGCTTTTGTAAAACGCTCGAGTGGCAACAATTGTAGTATTATATATATCGCATAAATAGGTGTGATGTGTAGCATGTGCACATTCACACGCCGCAGACGAGCGACAGAGAAAAAAGAAAGAGACAGAGATAGAGACCGCATTTACAAACTAATAAAACGATGTATAACGCTTGGCGACGAGCCAGAAATTTTGATATCTCACTGAAGTTACATAATTTTCTTTCTGTCCTCTCTCGTCGATGACAATGAGAGCCGGTGGGAGTTGATATATTGGAATACGTCATCGACTACTGCCAGTAGCAGCAGCAGCAGCGGCACTACTTATATTGACTACGTCACGCGCGCGCTGTATATAAGCGGATTTGCGAAAACAAATAGTGGCTCGTCGCTCGTGTGCGTCTTCGAAACTTATACTCACATATACGCAGTTGAGAAATACAATATATTTTCAATAAAATTCCTGACATCGACTGCGCGCGTGTGAGTATCGAGAAAAAAAGACGGATCAAAATACGATGGCACACGTGTTGTAGTTAAAGTCGAAGTGTATCGCATACGCACAGGGCACAATGACGCCGTATACTCCCACGTTGTTTCGCTCGCGGTATTGCCCCGAAGCTACAGCAGCAGCAACTCTCTTTGAGGCAGACTTTACACTTGACCTTTGCTGCTGTACATATATATACTGTACTCTGCACCGAGAGCGCTTTGCTCCTAAAAAAGAGAAGAAGAAGAAGACTAGAGGAAGCATAATAAAAGCTTCCTTTAGAGCCCATAGTGAAAGTAACAATGGAAAGAGATTCGCGAGGATAATAGAGGAGAGCTACGTTTTATATATAAATAATTCGTCGAGATAAAAGAAACATTTATACAAACGCATCACGTGGCGCTCGTAGCTTTTTGTTACTGCGGAGCTAAATTAAGGATACGTATTCGCGAAATATTTATTGTACAGAACGTCGAGTCCGAGATGGCGTGTAATGATCGCGTCCGTGCGCCAGACAACAAAAGTCATGCTGCGGCGATCGTGAATCTTTTAAATCCCCAAATCTATATTTATTCGTCGCTCTGTTCAACCTTAAATACCGATCGATTATCAACTCCGAGTAATAGGTGTATGTCCCTAAAATTAATTGTTTGCTTTCGCTGAAAAAGCACGGAGAAAAGAGAAAAGAAACGAGCGGACACACCGAATCGATATAGTACGCGAATGAAGCATCGTTCGTTATATATACATTAAATACCTGCACGGAGCCGTATATAAGACATTTATATATACGAGAGGGCTATCGATCGATTATAAAGTCTACTACGGCAATTCGCAATTAAAAGCGTCTTCGCGTGCATACCTATATCTGTATATGCAGCTTTAGTCGCAGCTCAACCCAAGCTGTGCCTTTGTAAATAATGGCTCGCGCGCCGGACGCCGACGACTACGACGACGACGTCGAAAAGCTCTTCTCGCGAGAAGTGAAAAAGAGAGAGAGAGAGAGAGACACACCCATGCAAAATGTATAAATTACTCGATGCAGCAACAGCAGCAGCAAAGGCGCACGCGTACAAGACGCGCGAATATATATAGCATCTATAGATGTAAGAATCAAGTTTAAAGGGTTCCTGGCCGTATTATTTTTGTCACAAAAGTGCAGCAGCAGCTCTGGTGCTCATATATATAATACAAAAATATACGTATTTACGTATGCACCGGAGCTCGGCGACTTTTCTCTCTCTCTCTCTCTCTCTCTCTCTCTCTCTCTCATCTCCGTTCGAGGAACGTTAATGGCGCTTAAAACGAATCTTTTACTCTCGCGACGCGTCGTCGAAGCATTCTTATATGCTTATTTATTATTATTATACGAGGTGTTAGAATAATAACACGCCCCGAGCGCACAGCCGCGTCTCGAGCTTTGTGAGAAATTTTGCAGCGAGGCAAAGACGCGCCACCGCCGCCGCCGTGTGTAAAAAAACTTATTTAAACGAAGAAATAAACGAGGGAAAAAATGAACGAACGAACGCGCACGTGATTTATACATTTTGAAGCCGAGAGACCCGCACCTTTTTCGCCTAAAAGTTCTTGAAACATTCGAAGAAACTCTGATGACCTGCACGCATGAGTGCAAGTTTGTCGATATATTCAAATAAGGCGTAGCGGCCCCAGCGCGAAACATTATATCGTCATACCGAATGCACACACGTGTGTGGGTGCACATACGCGCGGCGTCATACCTTATAATTTGACCAGTGACACGCATGCTACTCAGCTCATACCGTATGTGTGTATAACAGAATGACAATACCTCTACACACACGTGCACTCGGGCTTTCCCCGTCGTACTTTTTGTCTCTCTCTCTCTCGCTCGTTCTCGTCTATGCAGATAGCGAGCGCGACACTTGCATAATAATAATGTCACGCGCGCTTATAGGTGATTCAACTCTTGGATGCGCTGTATACAATGAGCGCGCGCGATGCGTCAGCGGAAAAATTAACTAACGCGTTTGTCTCATTTTTTTTTCTTCTTTACAGACTCCGAGCAGCGCAAGGGACATGGACAGAGAGAAATACAACGATTTTACATTCGATCACTCGTACTGGTCGTTCGACGATGGGGACGAACATTACGCAACGCAAGATCAGGTAAGAATTCGGGCAAATGCCGTTTATAATTTTGTGTCTGTATAAACTTTGCCCAGATGTGAGTGCGACGAGGATTTTTACGAATCATGGTAACACGAACCCCCTTCGTCCGTTATGTGAGAGGAAAATTGAGAAAATCAGAAGTTGTTGTGCGGGCACATCCGCGAGTATATTATGACGAACTTGCGTATGCGTCCAGCATACATCCGATCGATTCCCGCTTCTATTCGTCTCGGTTTATGAGCTAAAGAAAATAGCCAGGGAATCGATCGTATACTTTTGTATATTCGACTCGTATGCCCTGAAACTGAAAATATCGCGCAGCTGCGCCTCAAATGCTACACTCCGTTTTATTTTGCATCCTTTTCCTTTAAAAAAAAAGAAAAATCGCGATTTATATCTTTAGTGCATTTTCTGGGAAAATTACTCGGAAGCTCAATACGGGTACAACGGACGATACGAGCACATCCTGATTCGCGCGAATTATAAATTACTCACTTACGCGAAATGACCATGATAATGTATGCATGTAGCATTATGAGTAAACGACTCTTCTGTTCTTTTTTTTTTTTTTAACTTTTTCTCGCTTTTTTAGGTCTTTTCCGATCTCGGAACGGAAGTCGTCGACAGTGCCTTCGAAGGCTACAACGCCTGCGTGTTCGCCTATGGTCAAACTGGTTCGGGCAAAACCTTCACGATGATGGGTACACCGGTAAGTCCTGAAAATTTTTCCATCGTTCATAATACACGCACGGCGCGTGTATTCAAGCAAAAAACGAAAATTATCTCGTTTAATAATCATCGCAGGAATCGCAAGGACTGATACCGCGAATCTGCAAGCAGCTGTTCGCGCGGATGGCCGCGGGCAAGGAGAGCGGCGCCTCCTACCGCACCGAGGTCTCCTTCCTCGAGATCTACAACGAGCGGGTGCGCGACCTGCTGCGCCCCGAGGATACGACCTCGCACATATTGAGAGTGCGGGAGCACCCCTCGAAGGGGCCCTACGTCCAGGGCCTGTCGAAACACTTGGTCTACGATTACTCGAATATACAGGTGAGATAGAGGCGGGTTCAGGGATTCAAAAATAAAAATTTAAAAGTTTAATGGAGGGCGAATGAATGAAATATCGATTATTGCCGAGGATTACGTATTCGTTGTGCGTATCGTACATACAAAGAGAGCGTAATAACGGGAGCAATTTTTCCGATACGTCAATCGGCCCGGAGATTTCGCAATGCCTACAATACGTTGTATATGAGTCATTTCACGTCAAGTCTCCTAGCGCGGCGCCCGTGCGGCATTATTAATCGATATTGCTCAATTTGTAACTCGCCAGAAAAGCACCTAAATGCACCCAGAAAAAATATGTGCCATATGATTTTGATAGGAAATCTCCTCAGCTTTCCGATGATGAGGTCAGATTTTCCAAAATTTTCCATTTTCCCCGGAAAAACTTGACATAAACTTTCAAACTCAAATATCTCAAAAACGGCATTTTTAAGATTTTTTTAAATAGTGCCAATCGAAAGCTGAGAAAATTTCCTATCGATATGCAAGTTTTCAGAGAGTACTTTTGATAATTATTCAATGAAATACAGCGACGAACGTGTAAAAACGTGAGATTTTGCGCCGCGCGGGGTACTGCGCGCGGGAACAGCTGCCGCACGGGCCGAAATGTCACGTTTTTACACGTTCGTCGCTGTATTTCATTGAATAATTATCAAAAGTACTCTCTGAAAACTTGCATATCGATAGGAAATTTTCTCAGCTTTCGATTGGCACTATTTAAAAAAATCTTAAAAATGCCGTTTTTGAGATATTTGAGTTTGAAAGTTTATGTCAAGTTTTTCCGGGGAAAAGTGAAAATTTCGGAAAATCTGACCCTACCATCGGAAAGCTGAGGAAATTTCCTATCAAAATCATATGGCACATATTTTTTCTGGGTGCATTTAGGTGCTTTTCTGGCGAGTTACAAATTGAGCAATTTCGATTAATAATGCCGCTCGGGCACCGCGCTAGGAGACTTGACGTGAAATGACTCATATACGTAATCTCCACGCAGCGCGGCATATAAAGGACATCGGTATTATTAACGATGTAATCATTGAGGGAGTTTCATTCATACATAACGCGGCAGCATACAAAGCGTAATGCTTTTTTCAGTGAATACTTTTTTCTATAATCGTTGACTTTTTTGTTGTTGTCCTCGTCGCGTGCGCAGGAATATATGCTTCGGGGAAACACGCACAGAACGACGGCCAGCACGAACATGAACGACGTGAGCAGTCGCAGCCACGGCATATTCACGATAACCTTCGTGCAGGCCGGCTTCAACGAGAACAACATGCCATCCGAGACGGTGTCCAAGGTGCATCTGGTCGATTTGGCCGGCAGGTTGGTGTTTTATAATATAAATAACGAGATATACGATCGTGTTCCACTTATATCCTAGCGGCAACAGCTGCATTCCAAGTATCTCATCGATTGATTTCAATTTTTTTTTTTTTTCTTTTTCGTCAAACAGCGAACGAGCCAACGCATCGGGCGCCACGGGCCAGCGTTTGAAGGAGGGCGCCAGCATCAACAAGTCCCTGGTTACCCTGGGCTCGGTGATCTCGTGCCTGGCCGAGCAATGCCTCAACGCCAAGGATCCCGCGGGCAGCAAAAAGACCTTCTTCATACCGTATCGCGACAGCACCCTCACGTGGCTGCTCAAGGACTCCCTGGGCGGCAACTCCAAGACCATCATGATCGCGGCGATCTCGCCGGCGGACTGCAACTACGTCGAGACCCTGAGCACGCTGCGCTACGCCAATCGCGCCAAGAACATCATCAACAAGCCGACCATCAACGAGGATCCCAACGTCAAGCTGATCAGGGAGCTGCGCGACGAGATACAGAAGCTCAAGTCCCTCATCGGCAAAGATGTCGTGAGTTCTTCTCCCTCATGTAGCGCATGTAATGTATGTGTCACACGCTTGTGCTTTATGGTGCTGCTACGGCTCTTCCGCAGCTATTGCGAGCTTTTAATGCGCGTTTATACATCTGTATTATTATCGTCGTATCCGTATCACGATGACTGACTTGTGTAACGAGATATACGATCGGTTTGTACGAGTGCTGTGCTTTTTAGCGGCTCGTGCGTAAGTCGATTAGAGAGCATTACAGAAAGATCTATAAACTTCTCTTTCTCCATTTTATTTACTCTCGATCCATTTAATTTTATGGATCGGCGAATGAAAGAAAAATAAAGTACCCACAGTGATTGTTTTGTTTTTGCCCCCTTTTCCAGAGCATCGAGAGGCCACAGATACTGCTCGCTCAAATACACGAGAAGCAGGAGCAGGAAAAAGTGCTCACCGAGGAATGGGCGGAAAAGTGGCGAGAGACCCAGCAGATCCTGTCGGAGCAGCGGGCGCTGGGCCTGCGCAAGAGCGGCGTCGGCGTCGTGCTCGACTCGGAGATGCCGCATCTCGTTGGCATCGACGACGACCTGCTCAGCACCGGCGTGACCCTGTATCACTTGAAGGAGGGCAGAACGTTGATCGGCAGCGTGGAATCGCACATAGAACAGGTACAAATAAGTTTCAACTGGTAGCTCGTTAAAGTTTAACAACAGAATAAAATATTAACGCATTCGATCTCGTGCTTGCACAGGACATCAATTTGACCGGCGTGGACGTCGAGCCGGAGCATTGCATCGTCGAGCTCGAGGGCGGCGTAGCCACCCTGCATCCGCTCTCGCCCCAGTGCTGGATCAACACGGCCCAGGTGGACAAGCCGACGCGCCTCTCGCAGGGCTGCATCATACTTCTGGGCCGCAACAACATGTTCCGCTACAACGACCCGGCGGAGGCCGCGAAGTTGCGCAAAGAGGGCGGCCTGGGCAACGGCAAGGCCAATCTGTCGAGGCTGTCGCTGCTCAGCTGGAGCGTCTCGGATCTGCACGTCTCGTCCTCGAGCGACAACCTGTTGAACTCGTCCGAGGACCTGCGGGCGTACGAGGAGCTCGAGATCCAGAAGGCGGCCCTCATGAAGGAGAGAGAAGACTTCAAAGTGAGTACCCTCTTCAACCATCATCTGCGTAGTCTTTCTAAAATGCTTATGATGCTGTTTCTTTTTTTGTCCACGTGCTCACAGAGAGAACAGGAGGAGCGAGAGGAGCGCTGGACTGCTCGCCGCGAGGCCCTCGAGGTGGCGCAGCGCGAGCTCGAGCGCGAGTGGGGCGTCCAGTGGCGCGAGTGGGCCGCCGGCATCGCCGCCCTCGAGTCGCGCCAAAGAGAACTGCGCGAAAGAAGGCTTGCCCTTGAGAACGAGCGCCGCGACGAGATGACCCAAGTAAGTCACGACTGTCTCGATGAACGACCCGGCACGGACGATCTCGTGCAGCAGCTGGCCAAGAGCCACCTGCTCTATTTCGTCCTGCTCGCAATCGGCGTGATCATCTGTCTCTCCGGCAATATCATCATCTACTCGCACGTTTGTCCCCTCGACATGTGACGTTACCTCAAACTCTTCGTTTCCTAGAGATTGATAATAATTGACCCACGACAAGCTCGACCGAATTCCCGCGCACTCGCACACACACTTACCCCCCGTTCGACTTATACACGAATGCTCGTTGAATCATCAATCGTTGCCTTAATAATATAATTTTGTTTGTTTTTTTTTTACCTCACTCATTGTGGAAAATCGTACATTGCACAAGGTGTGTTGTTGAATTCGTTCGATTGAAAATGATATTATTTAAAAATTTCCTATGCCGATAGGAAAAGAGCTTTGAAATATTTTTCATACATTTGCAAAACCAGTCCGACGATAAATGTCATCTTCTGGTTTCTCTCGATATTTCTTATTGGACGCGAAAACATTAGATAACTCTCGCGCTCTCGCGCGCTTTGTCGCCATTAGCATATGTTTAGCCAAAGCGAATGCGTAAATAAACCAGACACACATAAGACATGCACGAGTCTTATTTGGAATCATTGGGAATGAGTAATCCATGTACTTGGAGAGCTTACGTAAAGTTTAGGAAAACCGCACGTGAAGAAAAAAAAATTTCAATATCATTTTCAATCGACACATGGGAAGATTGGTTGAGGGATTTGCGTATGCATACGTGCATACGTTCGCTTATGCAAATGCAAATATATTGTGTATTTCTGGGTTCGACTTAGTTTAGTCAATGGAAACTAACATTGTATTGTAAAAAATTAGAATCTCGTTGAACGAAAAAATAGAACGTGTATATAATGTGAATTTTTAAAGTAACGAATTCCTGTTGTACATTAACAAAAGTTTAATAACGCCACCTCGTTTGGATAGTTTAATCGTGAGATAATCGTGTACTTTTTCGAAAACATAATTCATTGTTAAAGATTATTAGAGAGTTAATATTTTATAAAATAAAATTAACCGTGATTTAGGAGTAATAATTGTTTGTAAATAAAGAAAATCGAAGTACTCATCTTAGAAGGCTTCCTTTTGTGTAAAAGATCTTAAAAATAATTGTTAATATTTAATTAAAAGGCCTGTTTAGGCCCGCGATAAACTGATGGTTGTAGGCACTGCCTGGAAAATCAGGACTTGAATCTTGTCTTATATTTAAACATCAAACACTGACAGTTAAAAGGGACCTTATACTTCAGAACTGAAAAAAATGAATTTCTACTGCTCATAACGAACTAGTATTGAAAAAATCGACACGATGTTGTAGGCATTACAAAAATTTTCGGGAAAAAATTCGATTTTCGAAATACGACGCTGTTTCTTTTTTCTTTCAACCAATTTTTTATTAATTTTTTATTCTAATTCAAGGACACTTCGATACTTATTAAATCCCGTATTTTACTTTTTTTCAGACATTTCTGAGGGCAGTAATGCAAGCCGTGATTTTTTTGTGTTTTTTTAAAACATTTGTAGACGACGACACTGGGTCATTAAGCGCATGAAAAAAGTTTCAGTGAGAAACTTCTGTTTAGAATATTGAAAAATAACGTTGAAATTTTTTTTTATATAGATGTGTAAGGTCCCCCTCAATGTGATTGAATAGACATTTCAAAAGTGGGTGCACCAACCACCCAGTTAAAACTATCACATTTAATCAAATGCATCGTCATTTGTTGATTGTTATGTGTAGCTTTGATTTTTTAGAATTAAAATCTAGTATTTTTTTATAGCAACTATACAGTATTTTGATGTTGTTAACTGAATCGTGCCTAACTATCATTAAACATAAAAACAACTTGCTCGAGAAGACGATGGTACTGCCGGAATATAATATTAATAATTATATGCAATTAAATTAAAAGAGACACGTGTTACTAATTCGATGAAAAGAAAATCAGTGTTAAATTTATACACCTATCAAACCCAAAAAAAGTTATTTGTATAGCGTAAATGAATTTTTTCTGTTGATGAATAATTGATATGAACTATCATGTAAATAAGGAAAGTTAATCGATTCAATTTGTGTAGAAAGAGAAAAAAATATTTTTCTATATGGGTTTGTTATGCGAAAGAAAATGAACTATTGTTAATATTTACCCTCATGATTATTACTATTATTATATTTACACGTATAATTATTTATATATATTTACATACGCTCTATATATATTGAAGAAAAAATATATATTGTTGATTTAATAAAACAATTTTTCTTATACAAATATTGGCCTTGATTGAACATTTATATTTATGCACTCATGCACTCTTTAGGATTAATAATTAATTTCGCTTATAAATTGAAAAAGATATATTATTATTTTTTATTGTTTTTATTCTTTCAATGAAGCGTGAAAATCACCTGTTGACTGGCTGAATAATATTAACGATTTAAAAATAAAAAATAGTAATAATAATTTAGCACACGATTAGAAGGTAAGGTATAAAAGCCTCTACGAGTAGAGATGGCAAATCAAAGTTATTAATGTTTTTAAAAAAATTATTTAGTCGGTAACAGATGGCTTACATGTTGTTTCGTGTGACAAAAAAAAAGTTAAACTAAATCTGTAACTTCTTATGTTTGTATCTCTTTTCTAATTCAAGTCAGTTGAACCTTTTATACATCCAGCACGGGTAGGCTAATATTTCATTAATTTCATAATTTTTACTAACAAATCCAACCTCGCTAAAACAACCTAAAAAAAAAATTAATAAGTTCAGTAATTCAATAGTTTTTTTTGTCTGACTCTTTTTATATTTCACGCTCTAACACTCAACTGATCATCATTGCTATCACTATAATTTTATGTGACTGGACAACAACAATAATAATTTTAACGATATGGATCATTCTTTCATTTCAATAACTTCAATATCACGTTAAAAATGATTTTAAAAAATCACATCGAAAATGACAATAATTACACTAAAGGGGTACGGTGACGAGATGATCAACATTAACGCTCAAGCCTTAAAGGTAAGACGTCACGTCAGCTACAGCAACAAATTTTTCAACCTTTCTTTTTTTTTGAACGATTTTTTATAGCTTGCTAAATTGGCACCTCTTTTTTTCTTAGAAAAACGCCAAATCGATCGGCTTTGTTTTTTTCTCTGTTCGTTTGTTTTTTATTTTGTTGATGACCAAATTGGCATGAAATATTTTCACTGTATAGCTAAAATTGACAAAGGCGAAAATAAGAACGCGTGCACCACCACCCACTGCCCTATTTTTACTTTAGCCCTATATTTATTGCGAATAGACAAATCGATTATAATTTATCTCACTCAATTTTTTTATTTTACATCTAAAACTCTTTTAAGTTATTGTTTTTAACGCATCGTGGTATGTGTTGTTGTTGTTGTTGTGCGCTTAGGTAGAAAGTTTGAGTAGGGAAGTTGCCTCTCTGCGCACTACGCTACAGTCCAAGCATCGTCAGTTTCAAGACCTCGTGAATCGCCAGCGACGAAATTCAGAACAGGTAATGAAAAAATCTTACTCTCTCTCTCTCTCTCTCACTCTCTCATCAAACGCATCCGATTACTTTGCGAATCATTTTGCGACTTATGTTTTTTTTTCTCATAAATATTAATTAAGTTTCGCTTCGAGCTCGAGACACGCCAATTAATCATTTGGTTTACATAAAAATAGAAAAAAAAAACTGAAAAACTTAAACGATGAAACCAATAAATTGACTCCGTGCGAGGTTCGATTAATTGAAACGCTACATTGAAATTGATTAATCAGCGGATCGTTGGTTTTTTTTTTATATTTTCCAGACGGAGGAAGGCGCGACGAGCGATGGCAGTCCGCCGGAATCTTGGTCGAGCTTCAACGAGGACAAATCGGTAATTGAGAATATTAAAAATAAAAAAAACTTTATCCATACTTTTTTTTCTCTCTCTCCTTGAATGTCGCTCTCAATCCGATATCTCGCATCTTCTTATTCAGAAAAAACTGTCGGCATTGAAAATGGAACTGCAGAACAACATGAAGACCTTGAACGATCGCCAGAGCAAGATCGACAGACTGAACGAGGAACTGCAGGATCTCGAGGAAAAACAAAAGGAGCTCAATGACGTAATTTTCGTTCCATTACGTAATTCGTGTATAAAAAGTAAACACGATTCCATTAGTCTAATTCGATTTCCTTTGTTTGCTTTCCTTTCCCAGTTGGAGAAGGAAGGACTGTACGAGAAGAAGCTGCTGCTGGCCGCTCGCTCGCAGGAGCAGCTCGAGGAGATAATCCGTCGCAAGCGCAGCCTGTCGCTCAACATCAAGCGTGCCTGTCTACCTGCAACTCCATCGTCAACGACCACGACGAGTTTCGAGGTCGCGTCGACCACCACCACGACCAACGACGAGTTCTACGACGAGTCGCTGACCAACAACGAGGCGCCGACTACGCCCACCCTGTCGAACGGCATGATCCTCACGGAGGACGAGGACGACGTCATCGTTAACGGCAACGACGACGACGGCGACGACGAGAATCACAACAACAATCGCAAGCGAAAGATCGCCGCGAGCCTCGATCTGGTTCTGTACAGCGATCCAGTGCCGAGCCCCGACACGGCCGAGACCTTTCACACTGCCGCGGCCGACTCGCCCCGGTTCTTGGACGCCAAAGATGAGGAAGTTGAACTTGACTTCAAGACCTCGATCGACGAGGTCAAGGAGTTCGCTGATAAATCCAAGCAGGAGAACGGACACGCCAGCGACGACAAGGAGGAGTCGAGTAAAAATGGAGAAACGACGGTAAACAAAATTGAAATATATTTAAATGAATTACTAGCGGAAGGTACTGAAAATCAATTTTATAATTTTAGCTATCGACCGCTTCGACACAGCCGCTGGAAAATAACAAAGCCAAGGATGAACGAGCAGCGTCGCCGATTCCATCGCCCGAGGATCAGCTGAGACGCGAGCAGGCGGTGCTGGAGCGCAGCGCGACGATGAAGCGCCTCAATCAGAAGATAGCTCGTCAGCGTCTGCTGGTGATGAAGTGCCTCGAGGCCTCGCCGCCGTCCAAGGACGAGCTGAATCGTCAGATAGCCGCGCTGCAGGATCTGCAGAGGCAACAGATCGAGCTGGAGGTGTCGCTGCTCGAGCAGGAGCGCAAAACCAATGGCACTAGGTTCGTCGTTGAGCATATTATGGTTCAAATTGTTTCGACAATTTTTCATGACGATTTTTGTATGTGATAGTAGACGCGAGCTGACGACAGCTTCGAACACGGCCGACGACATCGAGAACAACGATGTTGCATCACCGAAACGCGAGCAGCAGCAACCGCCGAACGACGCCACGACGCAATCGATGAGATCTTGCAACAGTACCTTCAGCTTGGCGAGATCGAGACAAGCGAGCAACAACGACGACAGGCGAAGCGCTAACAGAACGCCTCAGGGTCGAGGTTACTCTTCTGTTTACTTGACCGTGAGTTCGATTGTCGAAAACGACGTATTTCTCACTGAAATGTATGTAATGATTTTTCATCATCATTACAGAGTCAGAATCGCGGCGATCGGCTCACCAGTCCGTACTCCCTTCAACTGACGCGCTCACTGCCGTCGCTAGTCAATACGAACGGCGGCGAGGCCGTGGACAACATCATCGACATCATCGTCAGTGTGCCGTCCTACGTGGTCCGAGGTGCTGGCACCTCCAGCCACTACGAGTACGAGGTCAGGGTCGTGGCTTGCGACGACAGCTGGACGCTGCTGCGTCGCTATCGGCGCTTCCGCGAGCTCTACGTCTCGATGCGACAGAAGTACGGCAACAAGGTGTCGAACATCAGATTCCCGCCGCGTCAGGTGTTCGCCCGCTACGAGGTGATAGCCCGACAGCGTCGCAAGCGCCTCGAGGAATATCTGCGCCGACTCATCCAGGTCTGCTCGGAGCTGCCGAGCTGCGAGCCGCTCTACAAGTTTCGCGGCAATCTCGCCGAGATCGACAAGCAGTCGCTGCTCGAGTTCAGCCCGTTCTTTCGCAGGGGCACGTTCGAGAGCAGCAAGTATGGCACTAGTTAAACGTTGCATAATTCAGAAAAAAGAGAGAGCCGCGTGTTTTTGATGGCCGTCCATTATTGTACTATTACCGATTATTTGTGTATGGATGTGTGTGTACATTATGCTACTATTAATTGCGATGTATGATTTATATTATTATTTAACAATGCGTAATCGCGTACGATGCGCAGGAAAGTTTATATACCAAAGTTAAGATTTATGAGCTGAAGAGGCTTCTAATTGTTGATGAAAATTAAGTAAGATCGCGTTGACGATGAGAAAATTTTAAGCGCGCAACAATCGTCGATTGAAATTTATGCGATTGAATTCGAGTAGTATTATTGCGGGCAATACATTCGATCGAGAACAAAATGTGATACGTTTCTTTTTGTAAAAAGGTAATTAATTTTTATTTTGCATAAGTTTTTTCCATCAGAAATTCTGATTGAATATAGTTTAATGTAAGTTAGGTTAATTATAAAATATTTATTAAATTTTCACGATTTTCTTTGAATGAAAAAAAATCGTTGAAAGTGATTTGTTTTTTATACGATAAACGCATGAAATGCAGAATTTGATTTCCCGCCGAAACATTATCTAGCTGACATTGATAATAATCATCATTTGTGATTTTATTGCTACACAGATGACGATGACTGATAAACTCGAGTTATATATATATCAGTAGATAGGGAAATAATTGGAATATCGATGTGTACTGGTGAAACCGTCGAGCAATCGATTTTAGTACGTGTTACAATATAAGAATTCTCTCTTATAACTAGCTCGATCACACTAACAATAGAAAAACAAACAAAAATAATATAAATGATGCTATTAACGCTGATAACAATAGAACTATGTTAAGCTACATAACGTCAATTTATTCGTCACCGATAAAAAAAAGGCGCTACGATTTTTTTCGAATGCTTTATGAAAATAAATATAAATATCTGATAAATAATATACAAGTCAGATCGAAATTGGCTTAAAACTTGTGTACTTTATAATAATGCATTTATAGAAAATCGTATTTAATAAAGAGCAAAACATGAACGATATTCTAAACAAAAATTTGTAAACCTAAACTTGAATCATATCTCAAAGGCATAATCAGTGCTAAGCAATTGAAATGACAATTTCTGTAAGCATCTATGACTTTGCGTTTGATGCAAAGTCATAGTATGCCGAAATGAAAATTTATAAAATGTTCAATGTAATACCGAGCGGAAGCTTCAATCTAATATCTCATATATTCTCATGGCTGTGTAAACGTACTTCTAAAGAAAGAGACGAACATGGATTGTAAAAAACAAAATAATAAAGTCATATCATGTGGAAGCTGTTGAACTTTATGGAAATGACAAGATATCATTTTTAAAAAACTAATGATATAAGCGTTTGATAAGATGCGTTAATTTGTGTTTTTTTATATGTAAAATGAAATATGCGAAAGATTGAGAGATTCTGTACAAGCAGTGAAAAACAATAAACTATAATTGTAGCTACTGCATTTTTTCGATTTTTCATTTATAAATAACCAATTCGAGTACTATGTTAAAAATACAAATACTTTATTCGATATTTAGTAAAAACATATACAATTATAATTAATTCAAATTTCTACAAATGTCTTAAGAAATATTCATCAATTTCTTTTTCATAATATCATATGCATTAACTGACGGGTAATGAACAGTCTTTAAGATATGGTAGTTTTATGGAATAAATGATGATTTATAACGAAATATCTTACTGTAGTATACTATTAATGCATAAAAAGTCTTTACAATTATGATTCCCTCAAATTGTCATGTTACTTCGATAATTTGTTTTTACTTCCTTGAATCATTTTACTTAAATAAATATTTGTTTACTAGCTAATAGATCCACGAATGGAGCTACGAAAATTCGAGTAGAAAAGTAAATAACTAATCCAAATGCAATCGAAATAGGTAAAGCTGGCAAAGCTTTTTTGAAGATTGCTAGTAACAACAAAGTCAAGCATAACCCCTGCAAAGAAAATTCGATCATTTTGTATCAAATTAAAAACTTTCTGGTGGTTAAATATGTTGAAACTTACGATTAGTATGGCAACGAAACAAGCCAGAGTAGTATTCCAGTCGCCATAACTCGAAGCTTTGCCGACAAGTACTCCGTAGAAGATGAAATCTCCCAGACCTAATTTTACACCTCTCTCTTCTTCCATCATCATTTGTTGTAGTTGATTGCGACCAGCATCTACTGCTGGTGCTCTGCGAGGTTGGCCTTGTGTATTTTCCATTACTTGTTGAGCTCGGCGAGTGCTGCGTTCACCTATACAACCAATCATTTGATAAATTTTACTCGTAAAAAATAAATTTCGAGTATGAAACAAACAGGCAATTTTCTATGAAAAAATTTTCTTTCACTCTCTAAACTAAATGCTTGCAAGACCTAAGTGCATCTAAAATAAGCAAGCAATACTACAAGCTAATTAGACACGCAATTTAAATTGCCATTTGATTCTACCGTTCGTTTCCATCCATTCTCTCGTGAACCCACCATCTTCTGTCTCGCTCGTTACTGAGCTTCTTTGAATTCTTGCCGGCGACGAGACGCTTTCTTCGGCTGCACCGTCGTCACCACTAGCCATTGTAGTGTACATAACAGTGGACGAGTAGATCAAAGCCGGGAATATCGACTCATTTCTTTCCTGAGCAGTTTCCACTAATATTCTGAGTGGTCCATTTGGTGTTAGAACAGCGATCAAATCTGCAAAGAGAGAAACAGTTGTTAACTTTGTTTTATAGAAATGAATAAACTGATTAAATTATTTTAACTTACCCCAAATGCTAATAGCTCCTAAAACAACCCATGCTGTCCATTCGGGTAAATATTTTATAAATACAAGAGCCATCAATGCGGCAATAAAAATAAGATAGGCTTGTTGTAGTTGCAAAGGACCTTGCCAATGAATGCAAATAATTCCAACTACACCAAAGTTCCATAAACCGATGGCCAATGTAATAACATCCATCGGTATATTATAAGCCTTTAATACTTCTCTGAAAATTGAATAGAAAGTTAAATCAAACACTTATCATTTCTCATACACTTGAAATTGATTTTAACTTACTCGCAGTACAAAGATGAAAATAAGAACAATAATATTAAGGAGCTAACAATCAACCAAGCATGAATGGTTTTATAAAATCTGTACTTATACAGAAGAATTAATAACACAGTCATAAGAACGACTACACTCATCAATATCAATGCATTGGCAACAGCTTGCCAAGCTTTGGTTCCTGTATCTGAAGTTTCTTCATGAAATGGAGTGTACACTCTATAAATAAATAAAATATTTAGCATTGACAAAATGTTTCTTGTTCTATTTTAAGATATCAGCAATACTTACAAATACGCTCCTTTTGTAGTATAAAATTTGATAGATCTAATAGTAGCTACAACAACTAACATACACAGTGAGACTGGAACGAACAATTTGATAACATGGACAGCTCCATATTTCAATTCTTCCTCTACTTCTTCATCTGTTAAATCCATTGGATTACCCTGTGGTGGAGGTGGACCTTGATTTTCTCTTCTTCTTCTGTTGCCACCATATTCTATAGACACCTCTGGTACACTGCCGCTTTCCATCTGAAAAGTTTGATACTGAAAGGGTAAGCAATGATGCACATTTAAAAACAACAAACATGCAGAATAAAGGTGAACAAAAGCATGCAAACGGCAAAGCTCAAAGCACTTCTAAGCATACCTCCACAGTACTGGCAACCTTTGCTCCAGGTTTTTTGCGTGCGAGTGCTCCAGAGGAGCTGACTCCTGTGTTGGAACGAGTCTCAGCAGCAACATGTGCATCCATCAGGCTGGTATATTCGTCAGCTTGGTCTGTGTCACTTTCAGACATTCATTAAAATTGAAATTGAACCTTGCGAAAGGCAAAACTTTCAATTGCCTTTTATAGGCAATGTATCAATTATGCATGTGTCACTGCGTGTGAGGAGTATTGATATCCTTGGCTATCTACAACCTGAATTGAATGAGTATTTATCTTTAAAAATTCGTGCACAAATGTGTGTTTGACGTAAATCAGTGCGTCTGCATTAGTAAATATTTTGAGAGCCTACTGCTACAACTGGTTCGCGAACTCGATTAGAAACTGTTATCGCAGTGTTTATGAGCCGATATAGATTGTAGAGAGACTCTCTTTAGCACCCAAGGTGAATCAGAAATTCACTACATATACGCGAATGTATACGTCATTTTCATCGAAGCAGCAACAAACAGCGCCACATTTGCGGGGTGCTCACTGATGAAACTATGGCCTCGACTCCGTTTTATATGCCGTTTCACGTTTGCTACTTTGACAACAGATGTGTCAAACTTTCTCCGGAATTTCATCGGACTCGAGCGCCACCCCGTGGACGCAGGAATAAGCGGCCCATTTTGAAAGATAATCGGTATACGTATTGGCGCGAGTACAGATCACAGACAGCGAGACACGCGTGCCACGAGTCATCGACACAGTATATACCGTTTGGGACCTCGAATCATCGTCAGTCGAATTTCACGTTGAAACACATAACACAACATACACACTCGCGTCATATTGTGCTCCGATTACGCGAATCGTATTATTTTATATATTTTACAACGGCTTCTGCAACGATGAACGGAAACGACGACACCAATAATGACAACAACGACAGCACCATAGAGGAAGCTGCGGGCACGGATCAAGATCTAACGGAAGATTACACGTACGAGTTCGTATCGTCTTTTGCTGTTTTTCGAATAAAAAGTCAAAGCGTCTATATTTACTAACGATGATACAAATCCGTGTGTGTACAGCGAGGAATACGCCGTGGACCAGCACCCGATCCGACACATGACCGTCGAGACACCGACGGACGAGGATGACAGCTCGTTCACGCCCGAATTCGCACGCCCGGAAAAGGAGGGCAAGAACCGCATGGTTATCCCGATAAGAGCCACTGCCATGAAGGCGAAATTCAAGTGTAGCGGCTACAATGTCTGGAGAAATTTCTCCGGCACACACTCGGACACACCAGTATGTTGTATTTATATTTATTATTACTATTACATCGCGTGTCTGTTTATGATGTGATCGAGTGAAACGAGGACGGACTATGGTAAATTTTTCATTTTTCGCAGAGGCTGGCCAACGGCTACGACAGACCGGTACCTGCCACGGCTCTGCCAAGTGGAGTCATCGACATCGAGGTTCTCAAGGACTTGAACAAAGAGTCCTACCTGCCAAACTCGCGTATCAAGTCCGTGAGGTTTCACAGGTCCGCGTCTCTGGCGATGGTCGCCGAATCCTACGGCACGATCTCCTTCACAGAAGTAAATATCACTATTTTTGTTATAACTGTTGCTGTTCTTATTTTTGTTGTTTTTATTAATTAATTTCTTTTAGCCTTTTTTTTAATTAAATTTTTTTTCGTTTATTTTTTTTATTTAGATAAATAAGGATGATGGCAACAAGCCTTTAAAATCTTTGCTATTTAACGAAACTAAACTTTCGAGTGTCATGTTTGTAGGCGACGGGGATGAAGCTTTCATCGGCTCTCTCGCAGATAAAAGTGATTATTTTTACGATTTGACAACTAACATTGCCTGTAGAACCTCCTTTGATGATTACGATACAAAGTGGGATGCGAAGGTAAAAATTATTTTCTTCTCGTTGCAAAAAAAAACCAATCATTCCCGTGAAATAAATCGCAAAAAAATTATGTTTCTTCTCAGACATTTAGCGTATCTCCCAATGGCGCTTGGGTGTCGATGAGCGGAAATCAATCGGAAATTACGATAATGTCGGTCAAGGAAAAGAGAAAAATATTCAAAGTAAATTCGGGGCAGAAATCGAGGATCCACTCGTACTCCTTGAACGGCCAATTCATTTACACTCACGGAGGTGAGAGCGACTCTCGGAGCTCTTTCATAAAAATTAACTTTTTGTAACGACTTTGTATGTCTAACCGAATGGAAATTTTCTTGCAGTCAAGGAAGACTGCACCAGAATGCAGGTGGTGGATCTGCGCCAGGGCCAGACGTTGCACGAGTGCCGATTCGAGAAGGGCACGCTGGGCCACGTGCCCGCGACGCAGTCGCCCAACGGCAGGTGGATAGCCTTCGGCGGTTTAAAGGGCCGCATCAGCATCTTCGCCACGCAAGACATCGAGACCAATCGCTTTCCCCTGCCCATCATGACCATCGACAACTTCGACACGCCCGTGACGAGTCTGCGATTCAGCAAGAACTCGGAGATACTCGCGTTCGCGTCGAATCGCGTGCCGAGCGCCTTCCAGATGTTGCACATGAACTCGTACTCGCTCTTCCACAATTTCCAGCACCACAGCGTGGTGAGATTCAAAAACAAGACCAACGTGACGGACATCGACTTTTCGCCACATGCCGGCTATATGGCCATCGGCAATGCGAGCGGCAGGGCACATCTCTACAGGCTGCCGCATTACGACGAGTTTTAAGATAGAGAGAGAGAGAGACGATGTGTGATTTATAATTGTAATTGTAGTCCTTCGTCTAAAGTGTGCTTAAGCGTCCTTAATGTATTATGTAAATTTCTTGTAGTCAAGTGCAATTTTAATTGTATATATTCGTATATATGTGTAACGGAGTCAACAGTCGAACCTTAGATTTTTATTCATCATGAAATTGTGTAAAAAGATTTTTTAATTGTAAAAAAATTAAATGAACTAGATTTATGCAGCTAAAAAAAGGTTAATTTTTTCTTCTACTGGTTATTTAACTTCCTTGTTCCGATTCTCGCTAGTAAATATTATCTTTAGAGATTTTTAAATTTAAACTAAAAATATTAGCTAGTAATTAATGATACATTTTCGTTTTATCGTTCTTTTCAAAAAGAAGAAAATATTTTGGTTTTTCTTATTTTTAATTTGTTTGAATTTTGATGTCATATCGCAAATGTTGCCAATCGAGTCTACATGACCGGCTACTGGCAAATGATTTTATATAATATTCAAAATCATACTCGATGAAATTTTGTCCACAGAAAAATAATTTATTACCACCTATTGTTAAAAATAATTTTCAATTATAAGCAATAATTACCCAATTTTAGAGTAATATGATAGTTTTAAACGATTACGAAATTGCCACCGATTATGACAGGCTGCTGAATTTCAAAATTCATTTCTGCTAGTCGGTTTTTAACATGGCTGCTTTGTTGATCAAAACGTGTTTAAGACAAAGGTCCGTAAAACAATTAATTATTAACTTTCTTCACTGAGGTTATTCGTAATTTGAAAGCTGCATTGTTGAAGTTGTCAAAAAAGTACAATTCGAATATTGACAGTTTCAAAGTAGGGCTGCAGAACGAACATAACCTTGTCATATTGCAATTGTACTTGACGCATTATTTAGAAAATAAAAGTATTTTATTTTTATTCTTTTGCAGCATAACAAAGAAATTGCTGACCGAAACATTCACTGGTAAAATAAAGCTGAGACCAAGAGTTGTCCTTGCCGACTTAACGTGTTTACAATGTTGTTGTTATCACACTACCCCTGCCCTTTTAGCAAAAAAGAAAATTTCTCCAGCAGAAAAAAGACGAGTGAGTTGGGTATTACTTATTTTACTGTATAGTTTTGAAATAACTTTAAATCTAATTCATCTTTCATTCAGATGGAACAGGAAAAACTCTTGGCCAAGTTAAATCCAAAGATAAAACCTGATCGCCCATCAGTTGAAGTGTGGAAAAATATGACTGTCAAAGAGTTAGCAACTTCTGCTGGAAGACCTCTAGACGATATACTTGATGCATTACATATTACAAATAAAAACTTTCCTTTCAAAAGAGATACAATTCTTGAGGATCCATCAATCATACATGAAACTGTCAAAAAACTTGGAGCCAAAGTAAGAGTTGTTACTCGTCCTAGTGATAAAAAAGAAGAAGCAAAAGACGAAGATTTAGATGCAGTAAAAAGGTAAAAAAATAACATTTTGGAATAATGTGATTGCAATAGTCTGTAAATGATTTTTTGTATATTTTTTGACAGACCACCACCAGACCCGTCAGTTCTAATTAAAAGAAGACCAGTTATTACAATCATGGGACATGTCGATCATGGTAAAACTACATTATTAGATGCCTTAAGACATTCATCAGTCGTTGATACTGAATTTGGTGGAATTACTCAACATATTGGAGCTTTTAATGGTGCTTACATTTAATATTGAAAATTTCAATTATCATCAAACTTGATAGTATTTGTAATCATGAATTTAATTTATAGTGACCCTGAGCAGTGGTGAAAAAATGACATTTTTAGATACTCCTGGTCATGCTGCATTTGGTGCTATGAGAGCGAGAGGTGCTAATGCTACAGACATTGTAATTTTAGTTGTCGCAGCAGATGATGGCGTGATGGAACAAACTATTCAAAGTATAAATATGGCTAAAGATGCCAAAGTACCTATAATAGTTGCTGTCAATAAATGTGACAAGCCAAATGTTGATATAGTAAGTTCTCCATTATTTTTATTAGAAATATTTTATAACAGTCAAATTATTTCCAATTATAGAGTCGAACACACGCTATGTTAGCAGAAGAAGGGATTATTGTAGAGGAACTCGGAGGTGATGTTCAAAGTATAAATATATCAGCTTTAAAACGAACAAATTTGGATCAATTGATAGATGCTGTAGCAGCACAAGCTGAAATTATGGCATTAAAAGGGGATCCAACTGGTCTTGTAGAGGGTGTTATTATTGAGGCCACTAATGATTTACACAGAGGAAAATTAGCAACTGCTCTTATTCAACGTGGCACTCTAAGAAAAGGAGACATTTTGGGTAAATTTTAATTTCTATTTTGGATTTCAATAAAAAATGTTATCAAATAAGTTATAGAAAATTATTTATTCTCGTTTTTTATTTGTTTTTAAAGTTAGTGGATTAGCTCATGCAAAAGTAAGAGCAATGTTTGACCATTCTGGTACGGTTGTCACAGAGGCGGGTATTTCAGATGCGGTACAGATAATTGGTTGGCGGGAATTACCGATTGCTGGAGAAGAGATTCTTGAAGTAGAGAATGAAAAAAGGGCCAATCAGGTTATGAAATTTCGAAATGCCAAATTAAATGAACAAAAATCAATAGAACACAAAGTAGCAGCTGAAGAAAAACACAAAATACATCGAGTGGTAAGTTTTAATAACTATAATATTAAATTTAATTTGAATCATTTCTCTAGTGTTTTCTAATAACATTTTAGGAATATGAAAAACTTCAAGCTCAAAAACGTGCATTAGGCGTTAGAAGGTGGAGAAAAAAAGGAAATAGGGAAAAAGAAATGGTAGAAGATACTTTTCCTAGAGTCAGTATAATTGTTAAAGGTGATGTTGTTGGATCTGTTGAAGCCATTTTAGATGTTTTGGATACATACACTGAAGAAGATAAATGTAAATTAGCATTAGTTCATTATGGAGTTGGAGCAATTTCGGAAAGTGATTTAGATTTAGCTAAAGCGTTTAATGGTAATAGCTCAATAAGATAATAAAATTATCTATTTAATTAATTCAATATAAATCACAAAATGGAAAATTTACTTATTGCCTTTTTTTTTAGCTATTATTTATTGCTTTAATACTAAAGTACCAAAATCTTTAAATATGGCTATTGAGAAAGAAAATATTTCCATCCGCCATCACAACGTAATATACAGATTAATTGATGATCTAAAATTAGAAATTAATAAAAAGTTACCAATTATTCAAACAGATGAAACGATAGGTAAAGGTTATGCTTTATTTATGTTTAAATTATTTCTATAATTAATTGCGATGTTTTTATTAAAGGTGAGGCTGAGGTACTTAAAGAATTTGAAATAAACGAAAAGAGGAAAAAAATTAAAGTTGCTGGGTGCCGATGCATAAAAGGTCAACTTAAAAAGTCAGAACTTTTTAAAATTATTCGAGACGGTGAAGTCATTTTTAGAGGAAAAGCAGATTCAATTCGGCACTTAAAGAATGAGATTGACACGGTCAAAACTAATATGGAATGTGGTGTGAAATTAGCGAAGGTTGATTTTGAAATTAAACCAGGTGATAAATTAGTTTGTTATGAGGTTGTAGATAAAAATCAAGAGACTGACTGGGATCCTGGATTTTAGATTAATATATACAAACTATTTTGTACTCGATCGTTATTTGTAAAAAGGATTAAACGAAATCTTGTAAATACCATTGTATATACTCACGTTATTTTTGAAAATAAATTCTTGTAATTGGAAATTTATATAAAACTTTCTAATTTCGTATTTTACTCATAAATAATTCATAGCTACTTTGTTAAAAATGAAAAAATCTTTATTTTATTGTCACAAAACTTAGGCATTTCATTAAAAATATTGAATTCATTAAAATTGTATGCATTGATAAGCTCGCGATTTACAAAACACGAGTAATCAATGCCGATTCGATTAACTCGAATCATTTCTCACTAGTTCAACGAGCAGTCAATCCTACAGAGTACTCGCCGTTTTTTTATTTGTTATAAATTCCTCATGATATCCTTCTCAGTGATGAAATTATAACAATGTTATATATCTAGTAGATTACAAAAAATGCGTAGGTAGTCGATAAGCAAAATTTTTCACTCGTCAAGTGCACTCCAAAACACAATGTACGGTCATTCGACGGGTAAAAAAAATTTGTATCGTACAATCGTCTGCCCTCGAGTTATTTTTTTCGTTTTAACAAGTAACATTATGAACAGTCTGCGTTTTTATTCTAAACTATCATTGCTGGTAATGCAGATTTTTTCTTCTTTTTTTTTCAAGGGTTGTCACTCAAAACTTACACGCCTACACACGTTTTCATTACAGCTACATCACGTTCGCACTCTTACTGTCTCATCAAAGTCGGAATTTTTTATCTTTTATCTTAAATCTTAAGTTTTATCTTATTCATAAATACTATAAGCGAAAATCAAGTGTTCTTGATCGCACTGTACATCTCTTTTTTTGATTTTACAAGGCCTCCCGCGCACCTGCTGCTACTAATTTTTGGCTTCGGCTACGAGAATTCATTCGCGCCACCGGCAACAAGTCAAAATGTACATGAGCGTGAACGCGCGTGTGTCCGCTCGATGAACGCAAATGAATTCGACACCTCGGCTGATGGGCTGCAGGATGGATGTATGATGGTGGCGGGTGGCGGTGATGCTCGCGCCCTCATCCCTTACGACGATCCGCCGTAAGTCTCGCGAAAGCGACGCTGCAGATGAAGAACGATCGACATGACGCTGCCGAACTTCTTCCTGTGCGTATTGTTCTGGCCGGCGGCGTCGGTCTGAGTCTGCTCCCGCTGCGCCTGCTGCTGCTGCTGCTGTTGCTCCTCTTTGGACAGGACCTTGATCTCGTCAATCACGGCGTCGTTGTCCGGATGAACGAAGAAGGCGAGCGAGTGGCGGTGGGGCATGCGCTCGCCGTAGGTCACCACGCGATGGTTGACGGCGTGCACGGCGCCGCCGGTCCAGTGGTGGAGTATGTCGCCGGCGTTGACGATTATCGCGCCGGGAAAGTGTCCCAGCGGCGTCCACTTGTCCTTGCCGGGCGTTTGGATTTCCAAACCACCCTCGCAGTCCTGCACAAAACGAGGCGGGGGATAACGATTATTAGAAAATCTTTTTTTTTCATAGACTTGGAAAAGTCGATCAGTTGTTATGTATGTTTATATCATTATTTATAGGCAGGCACGCAAAAACTTACAACAATATTAAACATTAAATAGATCCTGCAAAAACAATATAAAGTAGATAATTATTTTACAAGTATACCAATAATAAAGCTGTACATTTAATGAGCTCATTAGTGCTTGAGAATGTAAGAAAAACAAACAGATTCTAAGCGTATAGTCATACCGAGTCGAGTTTAACCCTGTCCTGATTTACATTATATACATCTCAATCACGCAACAAAAGTCCCCGACACCTCGCGGGAATGAAATAAACGCACACACACGCGCGCAGACCAATCGATTTTTATGATTTCTCTATGCAAACGAACGTTAAGAAGATTTTTACGCTCGCGGTGCACAATCGCGGTGCTATCCTTATAATAACATTGCGTAATGAGAAAAAAAAGTTGGAAAAAAAAATCCTAAGCGCGTGTCTGGTTGTGTGTGTATGTATGTGTGTGCAGCGCGCGACATTTCGCAAGTAATATAATTCTGAGCTGTAACCCCAATGAGAAAGTCTTATAATGCAAAAATAGTCGAGGCATGGACAATTTTTCTTTTACTTCAAAATATATATCTCGATATTGTTACGTCGCAGTTTACGACTGTCTCTCTCTCTCTCTCTCTTACTCTGAGCGCCTTATATATATATTTTATTATGCAATGAGTCGTAAAATATAATATATATGTACATTTTCCAAGCGCGTATACACACTTATGTGTGTGTGTCAAAGCCCTTGTAACTTTCAAAAGCACTAATAACGTAGCTCATAATTCATCTCTCAACCTTCGCTCATTATATCGTTAAATAGGCATAATATATAAAATGAGAAAAAAAATAGTCGAGATAACCGTACCTGCATGAGCAGAGTCAGAGTTCCGTAATCGGTGTGAGCGCCGCAGCGAGTGATGCCCGCCTCGCAGCAATTGATGGGCGGATAGTAGAGCACCCTCATGGTCGACTCGTTGCCCTCCTCCAGCATCTTCGTGTGTTTCGAGACCATGTATTGGGAATTTTTACCGAGACCCATGGCGAGCGACTGATTTTTTTTCGATTATTTTTTGTTTTTTCGATTTTTTTGTCAATCGATTATTTCGGATTTCGTCGGTAGCGCATGGAGGGTGGAAAAGAAGAATCGTTTTTTCAATTGTGTTTTTCTTTGATGAAGGTTTTGTTGATGAGATGTAAGTAGATTATTAAGTGTTGGTTACGAAGCATACAGTGAGTAAGAGTCTGGTCATTTGTTTAAGCTCGGTGGATAGGTCGTCGATGGCGGCACGGAATTGCGGCACTTCCTTGTCGGGTAGCGGGCCCTTGAGCTTCGACACGTTGTAGGCGTGGCGCAACTCATCGCGCTGCAGCTCCTTGTCCAGTCTGAAAAATTCGCGTCGCACAATTAAGACATCGCGTTCGTGCGTAAAAGATACAAGTTGAAAAAGGTGTCGTACCTTTCCATTCCAGGCTTGATGTAACCATGATTGGTATCGGGATCTCGGCTGTACTTCTCGGTGGTCTCGTCAGGAAGCGCGAGAAATTTGTTCATAGCCGCGTAAGCAGCTCTCACCTAGAAGCGAACAAAAAAAATCACGATTAAAAATCGAAATGCACGTCATCGATATAATTCCAAGTGATTTTTTTTTCTCCACGCCGAGCAGGGGGTAAAAAAATACGCAGCTTGAAAAAGCTTCCGATCACGTGTACATCACAAGTCTGCCTTCTCGCGTCGTATGTACGCACGTATATATGAGTATAAAGGAAAAATCCCCCATGGCGCCAGTAGGCGCGAGTGCACATCTTTCAACGGCATAACTTACATCGCTCTCGCGTATTATAAACAGCGCCATCGCCATTATCAAAGATTCTTCATTTTTCTCTTTTATTATATTTTTGATTCACGCACGCGCGAAAAAAAAACTATTAGTACAGAAGCAGTAGTTGGAAGGATGAGAGGATAAGGACGACGACGTCGTTCTCTCGTCGCTCTTTTGCTCTCTGTGCAGTTTTTCGAGCTCTGTATACGCAGTACGCACACGAGGCACACGTTTAACCGGTTCCACGGATGTGAGAAAGAAAAGTAAAAAAGCTCCGAGAGTGCAGCTACGTCTTGGTAGTCGTAGTCGTCGACGACGACGGAAACGTAGCAGAATAGATAGTTAGCGGCGTGCGGATCTCTTTTTACTCTTGTTACTCTTCTTGAAAAGTAAGAATATTATCCCGTAAACGGAGTGCCGAGATACATCGTCTTGAAAAACTTTTACACTTTTCTACGTAGCTAAGAGTCGGGAATTTTATGAATGGCATCTTATGTAGTTAGGTTGACATTTTAATATTTTTAGTAATAATATTCAATCATGTCGGAAGATAAGTCAAATCTACTGTGTCATCTTAAAAAAGGATCAAGTTCATCGTTTCTTTCGATCATTCTTGCAAGTGCGCACGATCTCACGTAGAATCAAATCCATCGATCTTTCAATACATCTATTGTCATTATTTTTTTTTCACCTTATTAAAATGGAATCGATCCTGAATGTCATTTGATCGTATCGAATTGACACGAGCGAAAAATGCTTCAAGCATAGTTAAAAAATCAAATTGATAAGAAAATCGACGCCGTCCCCGGTGATAAATGACAAATTATCGTATATTTTTGCTGAAAGTCGATCGTAGATAATGAAATTCGCTATAACGATACATCGCGACAATTGATTATAATCCCTACCAAGCCTTGATCAGTTCGTTTATTTTCCTATTTTAATCTCGTTTCAACATCTAGCGGGCAAAATATTTTTGTCTTAGAGGTCAACGAACTCGTGACGTCAGAAAAAAAATCAATATTTTCGGCTTCGCAGATTTTTTTTGCGACTCGGAAACATTAGTCGGAACATTATAAGTGATTATATTATAACGTCCGCGCAAGAGACGTCAAAATATAAACAATTCGACACACCCTGAGTGGACAATTTTATCTAAATAATACTCTTGATCAAATATGCAGAACTTTATAAAGCTTGCGACATTATTTCTTGCAAATATTAATGACGTATTTTCAGTCTGCACGTTTTTTTTATCAATTTACGATGTTTGAAAAAAAACTTTCAAATTTGCCCGTATAATACACACCCACGCAGAGGAAACGATAAATCTCTCTTGGGGTATTTTTTGCTCGTTTACATTTGCCACTGATCAACAAACGATTATTATCGTCAAATTGAAAAACAAAAAAAAAACCGAAACATTCCATTATCAAATATTCTTCTTTTTTCTCTTGAAAATCATCAACACTTATGTAAATTAAACGGCACGACTCGGCCTTCGGTTGAAACAAATCGTCATTCTCGCCACGTTATGCTCATTTGTTTCATTTTTATTTTTACACATAATATACATAAAGCGTGCGCGGTGCAAACGTCACGAAAAAATGAAAACGAGCAGCGAATTCGAGTCTCTGGCTAAAAACAGAGAAAAGAAAAGAAAAAAGGCAAGAGCGTGAATAATACCTTTCGCATCGGTATGCCATGGTTCACCAAGATGCAGACGCCTTTCGTCGTCAGAGCTTTAACCAGCTTCTCGGAGGTGCTCTGCAAGATCGAGTACTGCGGGCAGAAGTGATCTGTAACGAAGAAAAAAACAAACGATTCATTTAAAAAAATAATCTTGTTTATTGATCATTTTTTTTTAAGAATAAAATTCAAGTACACACGGGGTGAAAAACAAGCGAATTTGACTGTGTCCCATATTAAAAACGAAAGACACGACGTAAATGTATATCTAAGCCGTGCGACACGCAGCCATCATGGGTTTGAAATAGGCGTGCTGCTGCTGGCGCTCTGCGCGAAATGAGAGTTACAATAATAGCGGCGCCCGTCTCGCTCTTTATACTATGACCGAGCCATCAAACACTTATATATAATCGCGCGGCAAAGAGAGCACATCTTTCTCTCTTTTGCATGGCTCCTTTGTGATGATGCACTCGCGTGTAGTGCGCGCATCAACTCATGTGCGAGGCCGACGATGATCATACTCAAGCTCGTATATTGCATGGATTTAGCCAACACACGAGATGGATGCGTTTGTATTGTTTTTGGCGCTTGCAGAGCTCGCGGTCTATAAAAACTCTAACGATTGGCAAATTTATTCAAGTATACGGCAATTCGCTTGATAGATCTTCGAATTAATTGAATATCAGTGTCGCGATATATACGGTGCATATCGAATATCATAAAGCACTCGGACGAAATTAAATTTCCTCGACCCTATACAGTATATAGCGGCGGTGCCAGATTACGCAGCGAAACATAAACAGGACATACACGCAAGAAATCGTCGTCAAGGCATCTCTGCGTCAAAGCAGCGTGTGTATATCTCAAGTTGTGAATCTGAAAATCTGAAAATTCACACTTTCCCCGCAGCACATGCACAAATTTCGTCTACGCGCGTGTATATACTATACAATCGTCGTTCGGTGCGTCGAGAGATTTCCTGGTTTTTCCTGTCATCGTCGTCGTCGTCGTAGTCGTCGACGTTGATACAGTGTGCGCATATCTCTACGCGTTCTCAAACGCATCGTGCTCGCGAATCGCTAATTCGATATATTGCGAAAGGCGACCTCGAGTGCTACGACGTCGACGCGCGGCCACTCAGGGCAGCAAGCCAAATCGACGATCTCGAACTTGGTCCGAGTAGCGAGTCTCAGCGAGCCACGAGCGAGCGCACTTATAAACGTATATTTTTTGTCTTTAATAACAAATTATTTGTCTTCGATTGATATATAAAGTCCGAGTCGAGCGGGAGATATTAATTTTTTTTCATTGCACTGTAAACAATAATAATAAACGTCGATGATAAAATAGCATTCTCTCTCTCTCTCCTCGTCACGATCGCGACGCGAATAAATTTATATTGTCAAACGATTATCTCAAAGATTGAATAAAGTTAGCGCATATATTTTTAATCTCTCTTTGTCGACGAGCTATTTATACGAGATATAATACCTATCGTTCCGAGGGTTCTCCCGCACGCGCGAGTTTATACAAATGCGCGTTAAAATGGAATTAATGACTCGAGACGAAAGTCATTTGTCGCACATCGCTCATGTCAGTTGACGCAGAGGCTTAACAATTATCAGGGCATTTATTTATTGGCTCTTTAGGTAAAAGACAATTCGCGGCGCACTGATAAAGCCACGCTATATGCTTATCATGCACTCATCCATAATGCACTGACACTAGCTGCCCCGCGAGCTGCAGAGACGGAGAGAGAGAAAGAGCGGATGTACGTTTGACAGCTGTAAAGTCTCTCTCTGCCTATAATAGCTCGGACGGGAAACGCGTGTGCGCTGATACTTTTTATTGCACAAAAATAATGTATATATTACGCATATAGCCGCGTATAGAGTGCGTAGGCTCGGGTTGTCCTCATTATTCTCTTCAACTAGCTCTCTCTCTCCCTTTTCTTTTTATTTTCAATATATATGATGTAAAAGCTCTGCGCTGCGCGTAGCGTGCATACAGATTAGAAAGAGCTGATGAAAAAAAAGGCCGTTTATAGAACTTGCATTTTCAATTACGCTCGCCTAAATAAGTGCGCGTAGCGAGCACGACGACGCGTGGTTGTAAAATTCAATTGGAGACTCGCGCGGCCATGCGCTGCACGCACGCGTATATATATAGGTTTTATCGCGCGTTGCGCATAATAGCGCCGATAACTGCCTCGCGTGCGCCTAGTAACGTGCGCGAGTGACGAAATTTTCCGGAGCTCCATGATTGTTGTGTATATTATGTTGCAGACATTTGTGTGTACGGAGCGACGCGGACTACATGTATTATATCGAGTTACAAACGTGGCGTATTATTAATTGGCGAGGCTAATTCGACCAATACCGATTTTCGAGTCAAGTCTCGGCGTTGTACTTGGTTTCACCGAGACAGACAGACAGACAGTCAGAGAAGATATAGTTCAAACGCGACGTGTGTAACAATACACATCTGACGCGAAGTCAAGGCCAATTTCGCGATCGCTTCTTGATATCTGCCACACACGCAGACACAGCAACGCGTTTTACATGTGTGTACTATAATTCGTATACACAAAGAATCGCGATGTTACGCATACGGCTCTTTTTCTTCTCGTTTCTTTCTTTCTTTCTTTCTTTCTTTGTTTTTTTCGTCAAATTAATATCAGTAATTTGCAAGAGGATCGCATTTGGGTCATAAGCCATTTGCATGTGTGCGCAACGCGGGTAAAAGCAAAGACGGACGTCGAGTTTCAAAGGAGAACTCTCGACTCTTGCTGCGCGAGACGCAAAATGTGGAAGCAGCAGCACACGCACATACAGAGAGAACACGTGAAATTTATGACATTTATATTTATAATACGAGTACTGCGTTTATAGCGGGTCAAAATTTCACTTTTAGTCGTTATCGCGGCTAAAAATTGTAGTATACGCAGCTTAAACTAGATTCCGAAAATTTGAATCCAGTTAGATAATCGATTATGTCGTTAAGCTCGTGAGACGCGGATTTTCTTTTTTGTTTCGACGCGCGCGCGAGCAGCACCTGAAAAGACTGGAAGCTAATTAAGACAATGATGTATGCTACGACGTGTGTGTGTGTGTGTGTGTGTGTGTGTGTGTGTGCTTCATATATGAGCTGTGCAGGTCGTTGCGTCATCGCGAAAAAGCTGCGCGCAGTGCAACATGTTTCGAGCACGTGGAAAAACTAAATACGTGCCTCGCGCGAGAGTGAACCAAATCATCGGGCGCGCGACTCACATTTATGAGCGCATATTTTTACTTGGAAACGACCAAAAAAAAGGAAGATAAAAACCAACGACACAAAAAAGGTGCGCCACAAACGTTGATTGTTTTGAATGTCTGTGCGGATCGCTGACGATCCTCGCGTTCGTTAAGCAACAAAAGCACTCCATCACGTGAATATATCGGAGAGCTTAAGAGATCATTTTTTAGGCTTCGCGAACGCAAACACACACGTGCCGCGTGCATCGACACAAAGAGCGATCAGAGAGAGGTAAATACGATAATGTCAACGCCACAGCTGATAATATCATTTATTAATTAATAAATAAAAGCCGTTCGATGTAAATCTCGAGTAAATAAGAGAGAGAAATAAAATGAATCGCAGTGCATTCCTCGTGTATATATTCTCGTGCACGCATTAACGCGCGGGGCGCGGAATTCGATAGAAAAGCGACGCGGGGAAAAAAAGGCGATAAGTACTGGCGTCAAGATTATGCCGGGCGTGTGTGTACATATCGCTATATAGCGATATTCGTTTAGAAGCATACCTCGAGCGTGTAAACATCGCTGCGCGCGAGTACCGGTCACGCACATTGGCGAGCCATTGATTGCCGATTTTTTTTCGTTGGTCTCTCGTTGTCGTCGAGTCGACTACTTGTGCGGTTGACATTAGAAATTGCAACGTGATATACCGCAGAGAAATATTATATACACACGCATGCTTTGAAGGAGCATATACTACATCGACAGAGAGATGTATATATAGGGGTGCGAGGTTCTATATTAGCCGGAAGATAAAAATGTGCAACGTACCAATACGGAAAAATGTAGGGAAGAGGATCGCGACGAACGATACATTATACATTCAGTTGTCGTATATGCATAGGTTTTTTTTTTAACGCATGTCAAGGAATCGTCGTCTCGGCGTATGATGCTGTATATAGAAACTTCACGACGTCGTATGCAGGAAGCAATTTGACTTTTAAAAAATCATAAATTACGACTAACGTATATGTATGAAAATCAAAGCCGTTCATTGAGATTTATCGAAACATTTGTTGCTGCGCGCGTGGAGGAACTTACTTAATACACGCATACATCGCGAATCGCATAAATAACGGCTCGGTTGATACTACGCACAAGTGTCAACCATTCCAGAGCGCGCGAGTATTTAAAAGTTTCTCAGCTCGCAAGAAGTACGATTTTCATTTCACATGTACACGATGGTACGCGTGCGCAAAACCAATCGCGATTTCCGTTTTTTCCGCTTGCGGCAGCAACTCGATGCTGCGCGGCAGTACTGACTGCAACCTGTTGGTAAACATTGCCTCGAACACGTGCGATGCGCTGCTGAGCGGCACGAGCCGCTGTGCCACTTGCATTTGTTCGTAAAAAAGAGGCAAAAAAAAATTCAACGCGAAGGCCTTGGAAAGTTGATCTGTGAAGCTTCTATTCGAGTCAGTATTTACGAATTGTTATGGAAATCAAAAATTTTCCAATCAAACATAAACAGACGGCTTGTATGCAAGTTTTGAAACGTCTATTATACGCGTATATCGATTATGGTATCTTACGCGCAGTGGCAGTACAAAATGGAAAGTCATTCATAATTTCGCTCGGCTCTTTGAAAGCGCGTAATCATCTTTATCTCTTCATTAAGTTGTTACATTCGAACATGAGCATACGTAAATGAGTGTGTGGGTATCAATACACATAGACACATATTTACACGCACACATCGATGATGACAAGTATACGTCACAGTGACAATTCACGCGTTTAGCACATGTTGCTTAACGTGCAAAAATCAGAACGACCGAGAGAGAGAGAACGGCGCGAACTGCTTTACGCGCGCG